CATGGTTTAGTCCACTCAGCTGAAATTCAGTAAAGTGGACCCTCTTTTTCTTTGCAGCATTCACTTCCTCCTCATCGGAGCTAACAGCTGCTTTTCTCTTTCCTAACAAAGAGTCTCATGTCATTATAAAGGCATTTTGGGAGAAGGGGAGGGGATGTTACTTGATATACCCTTGGGTGGGTAGAGGCGGTCCGCCACGGTAAACTAACCCTGTTTTAGCTGGGCTTAAGGCAAACGTCGTCCATTTTCCTACCCTAAATTTCCGATTTTTCTCTCTATTTAGGTCATTTACCTAAGAAAAGATACCGACTTTTTAAAGCCCTTTTAAGGGATTGACCTTCCTTGCTCACCCCCCCCCCCCCTCAGTAGATTATGTCCGTCTTGAATTATATCCTAGAATATACTTCGAAAATGATATAAAACCCAAATACCTTGTTTGAGAGCAATAAGTTGTTGCTGCTCCTGTTTGTCATTGAGAAAATTCTCCATTTTCTCGTAGATCCATTTGCCTTGGCCTTTTGGTAGCTCGGCCGGCGGCTGTCTTAAAACGTCAGAGAGTGTTGACTGCTTTCTGCTTAAAATTTTCTCAGCAAATAATGCCTGGCTTACGCTATTCTTCTTTAGCCAGGCAATGACACCATCCGCTATGGCTTTTGGCGTCTGGACCGGTTCCCTTTCGTCTTCTAAAAATTCAAAACAATGCCAAGAATAAGGACTTCTGACTGTCCGTTGCACACTATTTTAAAAACAGATTCTGGTGACCATATTTCCAAGCGGAATGGTGTAAATTACTTACTTTCAGCATTCTTGTCTTCGGAAATCAACAACGATTCTGCTTCCTGCGGGCGGGCGGCTTGAACTGCGCATTCTTCGATAGATCCCCCTTTTTCTTGAACAAAAGTCATAAGAGCACTTCTGTCCTCCTTATCGAGTGTCACTTTAAATGTTACAGAATTCATTTCTAAGCCCTACTTTCCCTAGTACTGAAGGAGATGTCTGAAGTGACCAAGGACCACCAAAGTAACATCCAAGTAACACGCTTTTAAAACGCACGTGATGTGGACATGACTGACCACTGTCAGATGGCCGCTTATCTTATCAATACATACACGCGGAAATATTGCGACACAAGCATTAGAATCTTTCCCTGTACATGTTTAGACTAACTGCCCGTAAACATCAAGCGTTTTTAGATCGTTCGCAGTCTTTTGCTAGTTGCAAAATGTCAAGCAGTTCCAGGAGTGATGTTTGTGGAAAGTCATCGGGAAGTGAGACTCTTCAGTTTGAAGCGACCGTAAAGGGCTTACACGAGTGTAGCTTTGGCATTTCTGTGGGAGATGTGTTTGAACTTCGCAGAAAGATTGGAAGTAGAGGAAAGGCTTTCGAAGTGCTATGTAGCCAAGGAAGGGTGGGACACTTGGAAAAAGACCTAGTACCAGTACTTTGGGACTTAAAAACATCTACTGTGCTGAAAGGGTAAGATTAAGGTCGATTCTGATCTTTATTTTTGTAATTGTGGCGCACGAACAAATTCCAGATTTTGGTAAACAGACACTTATCTCATTAGCCATTGATTGATAGGCTTCTTATAGTCCTTTGTCGTAATCCCTGACATTAAAGATGAATCGTTTACCTTAAGTTATTAATATTGCAATTTTTTGGTCATATGCAGGATTGCTACTGGAAGTCCTTTTCCAGATCCCGTAGGGAGGTGGCGTAAAGGAGGCGGAATAAATCTACAGATAAAGGTCATAGCAAGTGATACGACCAGCAGTGAAGTGAAATTACTGATGGCTAGACTGAGTGATCTTGGAGTGCAGGCTGAATAGAATCAAGCTGTGTGGTCTTCATAATGAACCATTGTTAATGAAAAGCCGACTGAAATAAAATACATGTATAATCCTGCAAGGCAAAAAAAAACTGTGTTGTTATTTGTATGCTTTACACCCACATGCACTGGAATGTCCCGAAATATAATATATTTGACATACGCACTTGTACCTGATTTTTCGTTCTTTATTGCTTGTTGACAATACATCTTTGGCTTGTTAGCATCCCACCAGGGTATCCCATCTTAAATGAAAGATATTTCACCGTCCTAAAAGCCCTTACATCTGGTTATCTCAAATTCCGGTACCAGACAGCGTGGTACAAAGTACAATTTCAAACAGTTGCAACAAACCCGACTGGTTGGCTTGTCACCTTCTCCAATTTGCATTGAAACGTGGATATAACGTTACTTTCAAGGAATGCGGTAGCCAGACAACAACGTCAAAATGTATTCCCCTTATTTGTTAGGGGCTTTCCTCTTTTTGAACTGTGTTACACAATACTATGTTTCCGGTACCCAACTTTCCAAAATTATAACTGACTTGGAAGGTTTAGGCTTTACGGATCAACTCAGGTCAGATGATGACTATGCTTCTTCGTTGTACTGCCGTCCGTGTCAAAAGGTCGTCACATATACAGATGTCACCAAGCTCGCATGGCTTCTTCGTCGTCACAGCGAAACAGAGAGGCATAAAATGCTATCAGGGTGGACATTAACCGCTGATTATAAACCCATCAAAACCTTTACCGGAAGTAAGTATTCAAATGAGTTTTCTTACTTCAGTTAGTAATTCCCAACTGAGACAATACATAATAATCACCTAATGTTGCAAATTGCTTGACGTTTTTCTTTCCCATTGTTTATGTGCAGATGCGAAAAAGATAACTTCCTTTTGGAGTTCTTCGTCAACTAAACCTACAACTAAGTCTACAGGCACTAGTGAAAAGGCGAGGAAAACCCAACTGGATCTGCAGTCGATGGAGAGAAAACGAAAAGCAGCGGAAGGTCTTGTAGAAGATGAATTGATAAACAAGGTAAGTTAGTTTTGAATTATATTTTTTTATTTTGATAGTTTGACTGATGAGGACGTTTATAGGCAGAACGGACGATATAAAAAAGTTCGGGTAACAAAGATTTTGTTTAAAATTCTACATTCTACGAGGCTATGATAGAATTCCCTGTGATAACGTAAGTAGCTTAATAGTGTCTTACAGTACTCAGTTCAAAATCAACCTATTTCTTTTAGGCTACAAGGATAGCGGTAATTGAAAAAAAGAAACCCACTTGGACGCAAATTGTCTGATGCTCTTGTTGGGGAGAAAAAGAAGCCCCAGCTCTCACAAACGTCGAAATCGAAATCCTTGAAAGCGCCAGTGAGGAAAAGATTCGAAAAATAGAGCAAGATGCTGCTAATCGTGTACATTTAGAAACTCGTTTGGAAACTATGATACAAAGTTGTTTGGCTGTGAAAGTTAACACCCAACTCTATACAGATGTATTTAAATCGATGTGCTGCTGTAACGGACATTATCAAGGACGGCGTTTCTGTTCAGAAACAAACAGATGACCTCGCAGTGAGATATGTCAACGCCCTGCTAGGCTATACCGACTTGCAAACCTACTACAGCCAAAAAATTGAAAGTCTGCAAAATAAAGTGGTGAATTTTGAAATTGAAGTGCAAAGACTTGAGACATTAATTCAAAAAGGAATCCGTAACGATCATGTACCAGAAGTCGCATTAAAACTGGCTTGTTTGATGAAAACTGAAAACATGGAGAAACAGATCCTTTGATAAAAATTCTAACTGACTTGATCTGTAACAGAGGAAAGGAATCAAAAACATGGTCCGATGAAACTAAGTCTCTATTCGCAATAATCTTAAACTACGGGGCGCAGCTCTGGCCAAAATTGTTAGAATAAGATTGGGTGGACCACACCTCTCAACGATCTACAGGCAAAGCCGAAGCAGTTATGTCATTCCAACGGTCCTCACCGATAAATCTTTTTCGATGGCTAGAGTCTTTTACGAAAAGATTGGTTACACTGGGCCATTTATTCTTGCAATCGATGCTACAACTTTAATTGCAACATTGCGCATAAGAGGAAATAAAATAATTGGCTTAGCAACGGAGACTAAAGTTACTGTGTCGACAGCACAAGATATAATTGACATAGTGAACTCCGAGTCATATGAAAAAGCAAAACTGGCTAATGCTTTCGTCTTATCTCCTATGGTCCAACACGCACCAAGTTTTACTCTCTGTATAAGCCCCGTAGTGAAAGGACAGGACTACCAGACCGTAAAAGGATGGATGACTCAAACAATGGAAATGGGATCTACCCACAATATCGAAATCTTGGGGATAGGCGCGGATGGAGACTCAAAGTTCCGTAAGCACTATTTTCAAGAGCACAAACGAAATGATGATCTATCAGAAGAGCAGATTACTCTAGATTACAAGGGCTTTGATTTTGCAGCAAGAACATTTCAGACGGAAGATTGCAGAATATGTAAAACAATGATGTTTCCTGATTGGAGGCATATTTTAAAAAAATGGAGAAATCAATTACTAAATGTGAAAAGAATTTTACTAATGGGAAGCAACATCGCACAGATCGAACATTTAATGCAAACTTATTTGAGTTTCAAATTGGAGTGTGGTCTGTGGAAAAGCGACGTTTATGTCCGCGATAAGCAGAACGTGGACGCAGCTACACGACTGTTAAAACCTGAGGCTCGTCACTACTTAAAAATCTGGAATGAAAAGGCCTCACTTGCAACGAGAGTGTACCTCAAGGTTGGCGAAAGTCTTTTTCGGCGTTCACCGAAAAAAAATTGTCCGTTCGTGAAAGGGGCAAAGCGTGCATGGCTCCCAGTAACTTTCTTAAGACTCTGGAGAGCTTGGCTTAAGATGGAGGGATATCCTACTGACCATTACTTTATATCAGGACAGACCTATGACGATGTTATTCTGGCTGGACACTCTATCATTATTTCAATGAAACTTTATGCAATTTATTATCCGAACTTCCTTATGAGCCTTGGATGTTTGGTTCCGATTCTTGCGAGGTTTTATTTTCAAGTTTACGTGGATTTTGCCGCGGAAACCAAACCTGACGTTGTTAGACTTATTAGACTTTGCAAGGAGAATTCAGAAGCTAAAGGAAATGAATCCCAAGCCCTTCAACCAGTTAAATGATAAAAAGTGGCCCACACATATGGACGCAGAACTGACTTTGGGTTTGCAAGAAGCCGAGAAGGAGGCGATCAAGACTGCCGAACTGTTAGGAATGATCGCCAGTCTAGAAAGGGCCAATGTCGTGACAAGCACAAAAGAAGGAGGTGTTGTGTTGATAAATCCTACCACAGATGTTTATCCGTTAAGTACCGCAAATAAACCTGACGAAAATAACATTTTACAAGTAGAAGACTTGCTAGAAATTGAAAACGATGTATTGATAAACGCCATAGATGAAAGTGAAAACGAAATCACTACTTCTTTCATCAATCTTGCAGCTAAGGCAAAAGAAAACACCATAAATACTGAACAATATAATGAAAACATGAACGAAGAAGAGGGTGACGAAGAGTATGACGATGGCGCGCCCACGAATTGTGTTTTCTATCGTTTGGGTAGTTGCCGATACAGAGAAAGTACGTTCCGTGCCCCAAAAGAAACTAACTGGCTTGGCTGTGAATTTCCTGGATGTAACAAGTGGTTTCACGAAGTATGTTTGGGACTTAAATTTCCGAATGACAAAGCGCGAGAAGCGTATACTTATTTCTGTAAGGATCACCCTTCGCTGGTTACGCTTCTCAAAAAGAAAGTTGTTAGCAGCACCAAGACAAGGATATCCTGGAGAAGGACCCACTATCAGCAAATAAGCAGAATCGTGTCATACGTGACGAGAATGGAAACTACAGAATGCCGAAGATGTCAACGTGCTACGTTGAGTTCAACGGCGTCTACTATCACATAGCCCAGTTCTTGTCTCTACAGCAAGGTAAACAGTATATGCCAGCTACCTCAAGAAATTCACGCTGGATGGCAGTTTCCAAGGTAAATTATTATGACAGCATTGGAAAAATATCGAGATCGCAAGAAAAGGAAGACTTGATTTGTAACTCATTCGCGGCTTTTTGGATGGGCAAGGAAGGACTTATAATTGGTAAAGTCATCCGAATGTATTGCAATCCCTGTGCAAAAAGTGCATATCCTATTTTAACTTGTGATAGTAAGGATTCCAAGAGTAGCACAGTGACCTGTTGTGTTAATGTAGCACCGGTAGACACTGAAACTAACACCTGGATTTTACAAGTTAAAAACCGTTTCGTCTGGTGCCCAATGAAATCCCTTATAGCCGAACTAACTCTAATTGAACGGGAGAATGTTTTGGAAGTAAATGGCGATGATGTCAAAAATATATTAGCAATGCTGCCGCAACTTCAAGAAACAGAGAAAAGAAGACAAGAAGAGGAGTCAAAGGAGAAAGAAACTAGAATAAGAAAAAAAAGAACAAGGACCCCCAGAAGAGATGAGTGTGGCATTACTGAAAGAGGTTTTAAAGGAGATGGGTGTCAGTTTTAAACACAATTCAACAAAGGCCCAACTAATGGAAAAAGTAAAAGAAGTCCGCGAGAGCCACAGAGAAGCAACATATTCTCATGCCCACAGCAGCAAATCAGTCCACAGTCAAAAACCTCAGAACGCTCTCGCCAAAATTATTGGAATCAGTTTAGAAATGACACGCATCCTCTGCCTTTGTGGATCATGTATGATCCACAGAGGAAAAAAGCGCATTTTGACCATAATCATTTTAATGTTAATTTTATTGGCATTTACAAACATGTTTTCTGAGCTTCTTAATGTTGAGTTCCTTTCAAATTTATATCAGTTATTTTTGTTTCATTACCTCTCTTCTGCTTTAGTTGCGGAGTTCATCATTTACTTCGTTTTACTTATTTATAGAATGATTTTAGCTCTGATTTGTAGTATGATTTTTGCGGGCGGCGAGGGTTTTGCTGACAAAACATTTACTGGAGACAATGTCTAGCATTACAACTACGCAGCTTCGTGCCAGTAGTACATGTATTTGTAGGATGTCATTACGACATTTAGCTTGAACAGTTTCTGAGTAAATACAAAAAAAGCGGTTATGTTATGTTGCGTTTCCCGTTGAATCATGCCAGGGAATCGTGTTAATATTATTTGATTATCAGTATTCATTCAATTATCGATTTGTTAAATAAATCTTTAAATTCGTCCTACTTGATTCATTGAATCGTAAGAGTGTTTTTATGGAAGATTTGATACATTTTAGAAATTCGATAAAATCGATAACATTAATTTAAAAATCAATAATTATCGATTACTCACAACGTGTCCTTTTATCGATTTTAATCGATTTCCGATACAATTTACTAATTTTTATCGATTGTTATCGAATGTTATCGATTATCGGTTTTATCGATTGCACATGCCGGGGGAGACTAGTAAGGAAGATCAAAGAAAAACTAGAGCTAAGCATAAGCGACATCTCGCTTGCGGAATCATGACGTTTAATGTATTTATTTTTGGATTGGAACTCAACGAATCCCATATAAATTGGTTGTGTAAATACTTGATGGTCAGGTTGGGATTAATGATTCATCAGGCAGTAACATTTGAATTAGCATTGATTGACACATAATTTGTATGTTTATTCATATTTTACTGGTACTAATGGAGTACATGGAACTCAGTGTTATACAGTCACTACTAGAAAGCACACCATCCCATGCATGTGAATTAACGGAAACTTCTAATTGCCATTCTGGAAGATGCTTTTGCTCTACATGGGTACAGATTTATTTTTGAATTCATGTACTGTGATTTCATAAAAACCAAAGGTTCATCCTATTCATCTCTGTTTAATAATTATATTCAAGGAGGGCAAGTTTTATGTAACCATGCTATAGTGTTTAGAGTATTTTTGCATACAGACTGTGTTATATATATATATTTTCTTTTTTGAGAAAATTTCTTAATTCTATATATATATTTTGTTTTGAAAATAAGAACCTGTTTTAGGATTTTAGCCTAAAATGGTTCTTATGTGAAGGGTTCTTAAAAATGAAATTTTAGCTTAACAGGTTCTTAAATGTTAGGTTCTTATACGCGGGTTTTTACTGTATATAACGACTGGAGAAAGTTTTCAGTCTTTCTCATTTGGAAAATCCACAATAGTTCGCAGCAATTAACACGGACATTTGCGCAGCTATTAGCAATACCTTGAAGGAGGAATATCTCAAGAAACCTAACTACAAGGAAAATTGGCGTGAAATTGCCAACTTGTCCCTTTACAGATGGAATATTTCCAATAACATCATCGAATGAATGAACCAATAGAAAAAGACATTGAATCAAAACCCAGCATATGCAGGATCGTGTTACCATGATTATAAAAGCAACAAATACATCAGCACATCTAGGAGCCAGTCACTTAAGTATAATACCCAAAATTAGCAAGGACGCTTTCAAGTTCTTTTTGTTTCCTAGATCCATATGTGAATTCTAAGTCACTGAACTGTTTTGAAACAAATTTAGCAGTATATGTTAACTATGAATGAAATACGACTTTCCCTTTAACCCCTCATATGTTCTTGGCAATCTAATCCCATGATTGCTGCTGTTTGCCTCAGAGGGGAAGAGAGTACACGTGCAAAATCTCAGTTGAAGCTTACAATGAATTGAGTTGCCAACAAAAATCTGGAAAGACCTAGATGAAGTCTATGCCTGTACCTACTCTGTATCTAACTACACACACATAAATCGCAGCACTCTGGAGGAATGGCAAGCAGTAGGAAAACAGAGAAATATTAAGGGCAGTAGGGAAGAAAATATATAAATTTATAACACTAATGCTCAGAAACAAAACAAAACAAAACTACAATAACTAGGAAAAAACAAAACAAAAAGAAAATAAGAGACAACAAAAAAGAAAAACAGCGCCCGTCCGGAATCAAACTTGGGACCTTGTATGTGCCTGGCCATTTCATTGCCACCACACCACATGCTCCGTGATGTCACACACTAGATGATGTCGGCCAGGGTGCACACCAAGCGATATATGGATTCATAAATAAATACAAACATGGGGCATCTGAGTTTGCAACTGACTGTGACTGCGCACGACAAGACTATAAACTCTCTTCACAAGGACTAATATTAACATGTATATGTTACAGGTCAAATTTGATTTTAGGTTAACTTGTTTTAACCTAGGTTGATTCCAATTTCCTTTGCTTCCTATTTTGTCCTAACTCTTTAATTAATTAGGGCTAGGGGACATATGAAATTAAGAATCAACCTAGAATAAAAAAATTTAACATATACCTGTAACATATACATAATACTTTGTGGCTAGCAAATGTGATTTTGACCGTCATTTAAAAAACTTAGCTTTTTGTATATGTTGTAGTTAATTTTTTATCTCAGTTAATTTTTATCTTTCTATTGTTTTGGGGTATGGTAATGTATGCTTATGAATTTGAAAGAAAGGAAAAACAAAAATTAACTAAAATAAAAAATTAACTGCAACATATACATGTAAGCATTATTGTCATGTACAGATATTCTGAAATTTATTCGCCTAATCCAGGCAAAGGCTGCCAAACAACAGGCAAACAAGCACAAAGCAATGGAAGAAAAGTGAGACAGGAGGACAACCTCACATAGAACAAGGAATTACTGAACCCCTCTGGTGAAGCAATGGTATGTGGGTTGATAATAACCTTACATGTGTAGTTTGGGGAAGGATAGTATACTGTGCACTCTTTTAGTTTGGAAAGATTTTAGTTTGCCAAAGAAAACATTGCGATCAGTCACCTTTCACCACACTGCAAACTTACAGCAAGATCATGACGAAGATTTTACGTAAAGCGGCATTGCAAAAGAGGACAAATTTTTCTGTACAGGGAACTAATGATGAGTGAAGATTGTTAGTTTTCAACCTTGTTATACAATAGAGCGGTTTTCACTTGACTGTCGAAAGGGATTGGTTTTGGTTTTGGTTTTGGTTTTACTACGCCCTTTGGTTGGCTAGTGTATTTACTTTGGTTTTACGACAGTCAAGTGAAAACCGCTCTAATAGAATAATATACTACTTCGTAAGACATAATTCCTGGGTGCAAACCATCCATATTGTAGATCACACAGGGGAGGATGCATGGAAAATACCAATTAACTAATAATTTTTGTCTGTTTTAACATCTGCAGGACATGATGTATGACTGTGAGTTAATTAACCTCACGACAAGAGTCAAGCTGAAAGAATGGATTAAAAAACGTGACTTTCATTGAACCTGATGAGACGACCACCACGCTGTTAAGGAATTGGCTACTGTGGGATTTCATTTCTCAGTGTGGTCGCTCAACTGATTCAAATAATTTGAAGGTGGCTGTAAAAAGATCCCCTCACATGCTAGGAAACTGCCAGTCACACCTTTATTTAAGAATGGATTGGAGTGTGACCCTTGCAACTTTTGCCCTATATCTGTCCTCCCAGCCGATAAAAAAAATACTTGCTTCCTTGATGTGCACCAGCACTTCACCAAGGATGTAATGTTAACATGAGAAACGACTGGATACAAGGACTACAAAACATTGTGTTAGAACTTCACGCGTCGCAATGTGGTAGATTGATTTGATGCTAAAAGAAGGGAAGAAAAAAAGTGATTGTGTGAGAATTTGAAGCCATGGTTGAATGCGGTAAATGGATCGATTTCAAGCTGAAACAATGGATAAAAAAGGGTTTTAATTGAACCTGATGAAACGACCATCACGCTTTTAAGTAATTGGCCACTGTGGGATTCCGTTTCTAAGTGCAATCCCTCAACTGATTCAAATAATTTGAAGGTGGCTATGAAAAGTTCCGCTCATGCTGGGAAACTGCCAGTCACACCTTTATTTAAAAATGGATTAAAGTGTGACCCTTGCAACTTTTGCCCTATATCTGTCCTCCCGGCCAATTAAAAAAAACACGCTTCCTTGATGTACACCAGCACTTCACCAAGGATGTAATGTTAACATGAGAAACGACTGGATACAAGAACTACAAAGCATTGTGTTAGAACTTAAGGCGTGGCAATCTGGTAAATTGAGTTGAAGCTAAAAGAAGGGAGGACAAAAAGTGATTGTGTTAGAATTTGAAGCCATGGTTGAGTGCGGCAAATGGATAGATTTCAAGCTGAAAGAATGGGTAAAAAAAGTGATTTTCATTTAACCTGATGAAACGACCATCATGCTTTTCAGGAATTGACTACTGTGGGATTTCATTTCTCAGTGCAATCGCTGAACTGATTCAGATAATTTGAAGGTGGCTGTGGAAAGTTCCCCTCACGCTGGGAAACTGCTAGTCGCACCTTTATTTAAGAATGGATGAAAAAAAACAACTCGCTTCCTAGATGTGCACTTGCACTTTCGCCAAGCATGTAGTGTTAACATGAGAACGATTGGATACAAGGACTTCAAAACATTGGGTTAGAACTTCAGGCATTGCGATATGGTAAATTGATCTGAAGCTAAAAGAAGGGAGGGAAAAAAGTGATTGTGTTAGAATTTGAAGCCATGGTTGAATGCGGTAAATGGATCAATTTCAAGCTGAAAGAATGGATAAAAAAAGTGATTTTAATTGAACCTGATGAAACGACCATCACGCTTTTAAGAAATAGGCTACTGTGGGATTGATACAAGGACTCCAAAACATTGTGTTAGAACTTCAGGCGTCGCAATGTGGTAGATTGATTTGACGCTAAAAAAAGGGAAGAAAAAAAGTGATTGTGTTAGAATTTGAAGCCATGGTTGAATGCGGTAAATGGATCGATTTCAAGCTGAAAGAATGGATAAAAAAAGTGATTTTAATTGAACCTGATGAAACGACCATCACGCTTTTAAGAAATAGGCTACTGTGGGATTGATACAAGGACTCCAAAACATTGTGTTAGAACTTCAGGCGTCGCAATGTGGTAAATTGATTTGACGCTAAAAGAAGGGAGGAAAAAAAGTGATTGTGTTAGAATTTGAAACCATGGTTGAATGCGGTAAATGGATTGATTTCAAGCTGAAAGAATGGATAAAAAAGTGATTTTAATTGAACGTAATGAAACGACCATCACCCTTTTAAGGAATTGACTACTGTGGGATTCCATTTCTAAGTGCCATTGCTCAACTGATTCAAATAATTTGAAGGTGGCTATGAAAAGTTCCCCTCACGCTGGGAAACTGCCAGTCACACCTTTATTGAAGAATGGATTGGGGTGTGACCCTTGCAACTTTTGCCCTATATCTGTCCTCCCGGCCAATTAAAAAAAACACGCTTCCTTGATGTGCACCAGCACTTCACCAAGGATGTAGTGTTAACATGAGAAACGACTAGATACAACGACTAGAAAACATCGCGTTAGAACGTAAGGCATTGCAATCTGGTAAATTGAGTTGAAGCTAAAAGAAGGGAGGAAAAAAAGTGATTGTGTTAGAATTTGAAGCCATGGTTGAGTGTGGCAAATGGATAGATTTCAAGCTGAAAGAATGGATAAAAAAAGTGATTTTCATTTAACCCGATGAAACGACCATCACACTTTTAAGGAATTAGCTACCGTGGGATTTCATTTCTCAGTGCAATCACTCAACTGATTCAAATAAGTTGAAGTTCCCCTCACAATGGGAAACTGCCAGTCGCACCTTTATTTAAGAATGGATTGGAGTGTGACCCTTGCAACTTTTACCCTATATCTGTCCTCCCGGCCAGTTCTGCCTGGTTTTCTCATGGACACACTCTTAAATGATCACATTTTTATAAATAACAATTGTCATGCGCGCAATACTCGCTATGCCAATATAAATATGGTATGTCTCTAAGTACTGCAGAGAAACCAAGTGCAGACGAACTTTTTCAGTATCTGCGGCAAAGCTATAAATTAAAGTTTGTGCAAATTTTCCTAAAATTATGCTGATATGATAGTTGAGTGAATACCAGTAAAGAAGGTATTTACCGTATTCCCATTCAGATAACAAGCTTTAGAAGCCAGCTGAGAACTATCTGATATGCTAAATGGCATCAAAACAATTTAAAGAGAGCTTAAATTTTCATTCTATGTGATCGTAATTTGGTTGTATTTCTGTTTCTTTTCCAAGGTTACAGATTGGTTCAACAATCATTTAAGGAAGCAAAGGATGGGGTTTTACAAGCCTGGCCAATGCTGTGGTGAGCTAGATGCTGTTTCCATCTCGAAACAACTAGGTGCAAAAAAACTATGAATGTTTGCACCTTTCATTCGACAGTCGCAAATGTTTGTCTAGGGATGTAATGGGATCTCATGCAAAAGTGCCCACCAATAATACTAGATTACCGCCTAGAATGTCTCCACGGCATTGGCGACAACATCCCCACACTCACCAGTCATGGAATGAAATTTATTGAAAGCCTTATTCCAAAAGCATAGAATCTGGAGGTTTATTCAATAAGTGATCTTCCCTGCACAAAAGCTTACTCACATTTCTTAGAGGTACAGTCAAAGTTTTCTCGTTATAAAAGCCACGGCAAGGCTTTTCTGGCAATTCATGTTGCTGGCGCTTAAGAAAGTTATGGCCTATCAGATTGACCACAGCTGAATTGTAGCATTACTGCCGCTACTTCGCAGCATTTGAAAGTTGGCAACTGCACTACAAAACTGCTGCTGAGAGCTTCAAAGTCTGCACAGCACTTTTGCATCCCGCTATAACTTGAATTAAGCTGCTGTCTGGCTTCTAAAATCCTGCTAAACAGCTGTAACTTAGCGGTACTGCTATTTTGAAGCAATTTTGGGGTGCTGTACAGCACTGCAAGTTTTGTAGGGGTTGTTTTGTTGTTGATAGAAATCGATAAAAGTCAATTAAAATTGCTTACCTCTCCTTAGATCATTGTGATTATCAACTCTTATCGACAAATGTAACTTGTCAAATGACAATTATCGAGCATTATCAACTTGCTTTCTGATGATCGATTTCTGCCGACATGTAACGTCCTGTTGTATTATACTATTAATTTGGGGTTTTAGATTTATAATAGTCCTTACGAAAAGGCAGAAAAAAGAGTGCAAGACGTTCAGGAGGATATTGACAAAGCCAACCTGGAAGAAGGCCAGTTTGCTGCTGTAGTTTTGTCTAACTACAAAAAGCGGCCTGTAATTGGAAAAGTCCTGGAATTCATTGGAGATAGTCAGTTTGTGTTCAAACATGAGGAGCCGCAATAAAACCATTTTTAAATTAAGGTTGAGTGATGGCTGTTATGCTCAGTTTCCTTCAAAATTTAGCCTTTGACTTCATGCTTGTCACTCAGGGTCAATCTCCATTGTCAAGAGTTGTCATCAATGCTGATTTAACAGACAAAAGGAAACAGTTCCAAATTTTGCAACTGTCTGTTAATGGAAAGAGGCGGAGCGACAACTAAGAAGTTAAAAATTAATGATTGATGCATAAAGGAGATAGCAAAACTTTTCAAAGTGGACAGTTACGAAAAGGTACATTGCCAAAGGACACACTTTTTATTATTGTTCCAGTTATTGTTGAACTTTTAAAAAATATAACTATTGACCAAACAATTTTCTGCAAATTCATCAATTGCTGTTAACTGAGCCATAAAAATTTCTGTAGTTCATTAAAAAATTTGGAATTGTTAGCATTTTAAGACTTGTAATAAATTTTTATGAACTCATTGCTTTTTTTGCTTGGAACATTAACCACAAATGGAAATGAAAATGAAGGGATCACTGTAGGAATAGACACATGGATGTTGTTAAGTCTTATGCCATCAGCAACTACGTGAATGGCTAACCTTTTTGTTTAGAACATAAACCACAATACAAACGTGACTGAAATGAACATGAATGAATCCAGAATTGTACAAATGTAATACATATGAAAGCAGTAGTACAAAGTGTCTTCTATGGTGTTTCTTAATCCTACACCATCTGCATTAGAATCATGTTCTGGGAGGAGCACTCTGGGAAACCCATCTTCATCACTGACAACACCGATTTCAGTGGCATCGTTCACCTCTAGGCATGTGTTGTGTAGAATACAACAGGTGATGATTGTGCCCGCCACTTTTTTCCACTGTTTCATCAAGTTTGTCCAGTAGACACTCCCACCGCTCTGTTAACGGTCCAAATGCTTGCTCAATAACCACCCTTGCACTGCTTAATGATTTGTTAAAATCTCTCTGGCTGTCAATGAGAGCTCTGGTCTGAGGAACCTGCGCACCACCTATTCCACACATCGGGGAATGCAAAATATTGCCATTCTCCTTTGCAATGAGTAGTGAGCTCATTGCAGTGCTTAAGGCACTGAATGTTGTTTTATTGGATTGAAAGAATTAAACATTTTGAGGCATCCTCCTCCTTTGTAAGGGCATGAGCCTCATTCACTGAATAAAACACCTCCCCAAAAACACGAGAATGACTACAAGAGAAGTCATAACAAGTGCTTCGTTGCCGGCCATTATTTATTGATTTTGCAATTTGAGTTAGAAGCTTAGATCGCCGCTTAAATTTCATAGTGAAAACAGTTTTCACGTGTAACTAAAAAAAGTTGATTTGTAAAAAAACCCTAGAAAGAATATTCAGCTTGTTACCGTATTTATTCGATTAACCGCCCTGGGCGCTTATTAAATTTTTGGACCTTGAGGGTGGGCGCTTATTCGAGGTGGGCGCTTATTTGAGGCTGGGCGCTTATTAAATTTTCACCATTTTCAGCAAGTGAAGTATGTTTATTTTGCAACAAAACAATATATGCTAATAACTAATATGCTAATATGTGCTAATAACAAGGGAAGAAGTAACAAAGCAAGGTTTCTGTAAAATACTCTGAAGAAAACTCCGTCCACGGGGAAGTCTCTCATTAGAATTTATTCACTCAAATGGGTGGGGTGGGGGTGAGCGCTTATTTGAGTTTGATAGGGAGGAGGAGGGGGTGGGCGCTTATTCGAGGCTGGGCGCTTATTAACTTTTTCTGCCTTTAGGGTGGGCGCTTATTCGAGGTGGGCGCTAATTCGAGGTTGGGCGCTTATTCGAATAAATACGGTAATCGGCCTAGTGAAAACACAGCCAATATGGAGTTAATATAGTTAAAACAGTACTGGGCAGGGTAAATAAAGTCGGGCACGGTCTTTTCCCATTATTCCACGGGTTGATGGCCGAGAGACAAAATCAATGAATGGAGTATCTGTGAGTTTTCTCAGCAAGTGTTATAGAGAAAAGTCTTCGTACGTGTTTTATTCAAAATTGACTAATCTCAAGCCTTTAAAGCTTTTGAATTGAGACGTGTTTAAAAAGTTTCCAGAGGAGGTCAGGAAAGTTTGAGCTTCTCTCCTGACGACTGAAGATGGCCAACCTCAGTCGTCTTTAGCCTGGTTCAGGAGCAAATACAAGGCAAATTTATCCGTTTTACCTTTGACTTCTTTTGGTGTTTATGTGGCCTCACTAAACCATAAGGACACTATAGAGGTAGAGATAGAGTTTAATTCTTAACGAGTTCTTCTCAACTCATTTTGCCTCCATGATGTCTGTGCCAAACCGTCCAAAATGCCCACCAAAACAGATTTGGCGCGCACGGGAGTGATTTCAACTACACCACCACCACCACTGCTGGATTATCCAAACTTTTGCACTGCAAGAGAATATCTAACAGGACAAATTAATCAACAACTGCAAAGCAACTTGGAGAACTATTGCAAAAAAATTCAAACGCTTGGAGCTCAACTTTGTGACGAGTTTGCCAAACTGATTTCCTTCCTTTCGGGTGATCATCAGATGCCAGTTTCACTCAGGGTTCAACATTAAAGGGATTTTTTTAGAGAATGACTTTCATACGCCAATGGAAAAAGAAAGGAAAAGAAAAATGAATAGCAAAGTGACATGCGTATTTGAAGACTGAGGAAGTAGCCAAGAGACATCATGAAAGCTTGGCATCTACTTTGGGACATCTCACATGCTGCAAGAGAAATCCTGAAGCAAGGTTCTCCTTTGGGAAATCAACGATTTAATTGCTGATGAAAGGGAGTAAACAAGGCGGTTTACGGCGGTTGACCAAACCTTCCACGCTTTTATGCAGTCTTTGGCTGTACCAGATTGGGATTTCTATATTTGACAGCTGTCAAAACAGGGTATCCATTGACCAGTATCACCTGTCCGTATTGCGGGTTCAGTAATGAACCCATCAAGGTGGAGTATTTGTTTGCAGTTACTGGTTTTCAAATGAACACAAGCACAAGTTCAATTTTTTAAAAATGCACTGGGAATAAGCTGTGTTTATCAGCCGCACTATTACCGTGGGAAGACTTCATCCAGGGCAACCAAAGGACTTTCAGCCAATCAAAAACCACTCCTGTAATAGAGAATTGGGCGGCAGACCTCAAAGGGAACCGACCTATTTTTCCTTGGTTACTTTACATCCTAAATTTTTCACAGTTAAGAATGGCTTAATCCTAGCACAAACCAATCAGAGACCAAAAATCTTGATTTTTTTTCTCATAATGAAATTTAAATGTTTCCCTGTTAACATGCATTGCGTTTGTGAAATTAAAGGTCTGTAAGTCGAAATCATGTCTGTGCAGTTCAGAATTAATCAGTCTGGCGGTCGTTACATTGGGCAATCTCAATATTTAATTGCTCAAGAAATTTGAACCAGCCGTCATTTTGTTCAGAATGTTTTATGTGACTACAATTTGACAAACTCATGTTATCAACAACCCAAACGGCATGGTTGCAGCGTTCTCACACCAAATGCAATTGAATGCATTGAAATTGAAAAACTTTGCAAACTGAGTATCTATACTGCTGAGATCTGAAGAAGACTTGTTATGAATGGTATACTCCAACCCCCATCACTAAAGTTAACAAATAAACTAATGATGACAAAACCGAAAATTCACAGTCTCATCCAAATCAAAGAATGAAGATATTGAAGAACATGCAAAACTTTTCCCTGATCAAGTCAGTGACTTAGCAGTCAGTTCACTTCGTTACTTTGACGAGACAAAAACCACAAGTTCTACAGATAAAAGTGGACCCAAAGGACAGAGATGCCCTTCGTCTCTTACAGTACAAGAACTTTCACAGTTAATTCAAGACATGATAGATATACAGCGGTAGCAGTAATGGCACTACAAACAACTAATGTACCTGAAGCAATACTGTGATACAGCAGTAGCAGCAGCTCCTGGGACAACATCAACAACTCTCTCTAATGCTGAGGAGAAGATATTTGATGGAGACCCCGTGAATTATTGCAATGGCATCTGTTCATTTGAAAATCTTATCAAAGATAACAGGGGAAACAGTAGCACAAGGCTGTACCACTTAGTGCAGAATAGAGAAGGATTTTATGATGGGAAAACTATGTGCTTGATAATAAAGGCAATTGTAATTTAAGCCTCAAAGCGTCAAACTGTGTCATGGCTGAATTTACTTGTCCAGGCCGTAGGAGAACACTAGCCCAACCACAAGAGTTAGGACACAGTGCAAGCCATGCGAAAGAAAAATAGAAAAAAAAATTGAAAAAGCAGTAATACAAAGAAATAACCGCAAGTTAACCATTGTATTTGAGTGTTTAACACCAAAAAGCACTTAAAACTAATCCGTAAAAAAAGTTCTTAACCCTAAACAGCCCATATAACCCTAATCCATAAAGTGAGTGTTTAAAGCTAGTCAGTAAAATGAGCGCTTAACCCCCATCAGTGAAAGTCGATCAATACTGCGTTATTCTGCAAATATTCCATCAGGAAAACTTAGCAGGAAACATTTTCCATGCATTTACAATTTCATACAAATCTATTTTTCACATGCTTTGCATGGCTCGCTGGCTTGCAGATTATGCGAATCCGACCAAAAGGGAATTCACCTCCCCTATTGCTACCATATTGATAGAAACTATAAAACGATGGAGAGAGAATGTCAAGAAAGGGGTGAAAAACAAGTTTGTATGCCTCGGTTTTATGAGATCTGGCATGAAAAGATTCCTGATGTGAAGGTCAATACATTTCTGTCTGATTTGGATGGTGTGAACACCAATAATCTTGGGTTTGAACACGTCAATAAAGTTTTTACTCCACTGTTGTTTAACAGAACAAAAGGTAAACACCCATGGAAAAACCAGGGAAGCAGTTTTCATTTGACTAAATGTTCAAAAGATTTGCAAAATGCAAAGATTGTAAGGGGGCTAAAGTCTACAATAAACAAAGTGAAAAAAGGACATTCACAGGTTACTTGATGCACATCTTAATGTAGTCATATAAGAATTTTTTTATTTCAAAAATATAAATCGTAAGTTAGTAATTTTCTTTCCTAACAAAAACAGGTGATACCTTGACATAAGGACATAAATGCTGTCCTTATGGTTTTGGTAAGCAGGAAAGAGAGAAGGAACTGTCACCATCATAGGTGCAAAGCAAAGCACCACCCTAAAAAGTGTGACAGTCATTCAAGATGGAATAGATAACAGCAAAATGCCCCTTCCAAGAGAAAGAAAGGGTCTCAAAGGAACCTGCGATTTATGCCCAAGGAAAAGAGATATTTGCCTGCCTAGATATTTACGAGTGGCCTCACGATCCCAATGACCGCTAATGCTCTCATATGTGTTGTCAACAAGTTTAATAGTCTGCATGGCCTGGCCCCAGTATTGTACCTCCAGCTTCATAATTGTGTAAGAGAAAACAAAAACAACGTTATACTTTGTTTCCTTTTTCTGCTGGTTGACTTAGACGTGTTTCTGAAGGTGTATCCTGACTTGAAATAAGAAAAAGAGATGATGAATCGGTCACTGAATCATGAATTAACACTTAATTTCTTGTTTAGATCCGCCATGACTTTCTTCCAGTGGGACATGCCCATGAGGATATTGACGCTTTCTTTGGAGTCCTAGCACAGTTTATTCGAATGAGAGGTGCCTATGATATTGAAAGTATCATCTACCTGTAATTCAACTTTTAGCTTTCAAAACACACTCAGCATAAATTCATTTCTTCCATGGACTTTTGACAAGAAATATTGCACTCGTGACGGATAAAAAACAAACAAATAAACACAACCCCCTCCAGGGTCTTTACTCCTAAACCAGTCATTTTAAAAAGCTGGTTTAAGTATTTAAAACGCCATTCATGTACAAGTGGTATAGTTATCCTTGGGGTACGTTTTGCCTTCCATCAACAAACCTGATAGGTAGAGTGCACTAAATTTTCCAATGATCAGTTGAGACTTACATGTAAACTGAGTATTAGCAACTTAATTCATCTTATTCTTGTTTAAGATCTTATAGGAGACATCAAGGAATGCATGAATATACCATGACCTCCAGCCTTCCACCTTGTGCAGATGTCGGACGTAGGAGCATGGAGGAAATTCTCAAGAGAAAACCTACACAAGCATGTCCATTCGCATTGCTTTAAGTTTGAAAAGGTAGATTCAAAGCTGGTCATGTACTACAGGAAATGGAGCAAAGATGAAGAAATGGGGCCAATAAACATCTAAAGGACAATAGGCCAACTTGTCTACCTCAGTCCTGCCTTCCTTAAACAGGCAACATCACATGCAGGCGAACAAAAGAATTCTGGGAAGGAAAAGACATTAAGCAACCCTGAAGACTTGCTTTTGTCAGGTTCTTCTGCAAGTTGGCCCCCACAACGTTTGAGGAACCCAAGAAGGCCTGGAAGTTCGATAGATCAGAATATAAATCAAGGTATAAGAAGAAAAAGGTACTCTACAGAGGACAAGAAGCAGTATAGAAAGAGAAAATTGAGGAAGAAAGAAGAAAAAGAGATTTCACCGGTGAAAGAAGTGGTCCCTGCTTTGATTGAGCCACAAGCAGTACAGAAGGTCGCACCTTGTTCCAGAGCCAACACCATTCTCAATATGGCAGTTATCCCACCTGTCCTGCAAAAGAGTTTAAAATGAATAATATTTACAAATTCAAATAAGAGACAGGAGTTATTTGTGAACTACAACATCACCACGCAAACTTTCCTTACGTTTTAGGAGTCTGTTTAAAAGAAAAACCTGATTTAATGATAACACAATTTTATGGTGAGGCAAATAAGTCATTTCCCTTGAACAAGGCAGTTTACCGTAGCATAATTTGACAAAGTGGGCAAAGTTTTCAAGCGAACTGTAGATGCAGTCAATCTATTTCATTCATGAATCCGGTTGGCTACACAACGACATTAAGGAAAATAATGTCTTAATGCATCAAGTTTCAAAGTAATGGAAACCAAATGATATTGATTTCGGAAAATGCAGACCAAGTTCAAACCCAAAATGGTACGATCTGTCGGATGTGTAAACAGCTTTGTATAGGTGTAAACATTCATGGATTGCCCATGAGCTTATTAAAGGCACACACAACCAGTCACCTGCATCTGATGTTACCTATTGGGGGTTCTTTTTGCAAAACATGTTGAGTAAATTTGTCCAACAGAGCCACTGTTTGGAAAACCTCGGCATTAGATGTCGTGCCCGTAATCCAGATTAAAGATTATTCCTTAGTAAACTTAAGGAAGGAATTGTAAACTATGCTTTTCAGTTTTCTTTTGTATTCTCAAGCAAGGTTTTAATGAATTACCTTATGCACTGTTTGTATCACGAGAATCCGCTTATGGTACTGCGGAAAGTTTGCTGATTAAAAATGTGAATATTACCAAAACTTTCAATATTTGATTGTACTTTGATAACTCGGTTCTGTAAACTAAAGCTTTCTGTTGGTGAGTATCTTTTGCACAGCTCATTTTTTGTGGGGGTAACGTTTGTCCTAAACACCCGTTCTTCACCTTGAAAACATTTGTCCTGTGATCTTTTCTCTGGCTTTTGACGCAGGTAATTTTATTTGTCGCATCGGATCAGTGTCTGCTAAAATGACCCATTGAAAGATTGATTCATGTTAAGCTTCCTAGGCGACCAGAAAAGGGGATTCACATTTCAACTTAATTATGGTTTCAAGCGGACAACGGTCTATGCACAGAACAGTCACTTAAACCAAAGGTCCGAATTTCAACTGGTCACAATTTGAAATGGGACCATTTCGACATTTTAGAAAGAGGAAAATCAGAAACCCATTGCAAAATCAAGGAAACTCTTCTTATTAGGGACTTAAAACCACCCCTTAATGAAAATAAAAGCAGCGAAAAGCTTTCCTTGTACTAGTTTGCATGATTTCATGCAAATTTTCTCATCTGTCACCAAACCAGTGGCATCTTTTAGCTAGTCAAACTGATTTGTATGCTGAATAGAAAAGAGAGCCAACAGAAATCTCTCTCTCGTATCCAGTTATAGAGAGTGAGAGGAAAGCTTGGATTAGTTTTTATCTAAATATGGGACTGATAACCAAGCCAAACATTGTTACTGGAGTGCTGATCCTGTCCTAAGTACCCGTTTCTTCCAATCTGTGATGTCTAGGACACAATTACTTCAAATCTACCTCCACTTTGCTGACAGCAGCTGTGCTCCCCCGCATGACTCTGCAGATTACAACAAGCTGTACAAAATTCAGCCTTTCCTAGATTTGGTTATGGTCAGGTTTTGAGGAAGTGTACACACCAGAGCGGCAACTTGCCATAGATGAGACTCTAATCACGTTCAAAAGTAAAATTCACTTTAGGAAGTTTATTCCTATCAAGCCGCGTAGATTTGGAAGAAAAACTTTCACTCTGGCTGAATCAAGTAGTGGTTGTCTTGAACAGTGAGATTTCTACCGGCAAAGAAAATAATGAGGTTCAGAGAGATAAAGGAAGGAAGGAAGGCAGTTATGTCTGCCATGCAACCTTAACTAGATAAAGGATTCTGTACCTTTATGAACAATTACTATGCCTCTATAACATTGTTTGAAGAGTTGAAAGAAAGTAAAATGCTTGCATATGGTACAGTTAGGTCTTACAGGGTAAACTTGCCAAGAGAGATTTGTGGCTTGAACGAAAATGCAGTGAAGAATCTCATCAGAGGAGAGTGTACCGGCAAAAGGGAAATTTGACATGCATGATATGGAGTGACAGCAAGCCACTTAGTGTTTTAGCCACCCTTCCCACCAGCACAGAGGACTCGAGCAGAGTGCAGCGGTCAGTTAAAGTGAATGTGAAGTGGGAAAACAAACAATTCAGTCGACCAGGTCTAATTGACCTCTATAACACCTTTACAAGCCGTGTAGACGTGTCTGACCAAAGAACCGTTCCATATGAGGGACTAAGGAAGGGAGCAGTCTGGTGTTAGTGTTTTTTTTTTACACGATAGATAGAGGTGTGTGTATCAAATGCACACATTCTCCACACGAAATATCCCAATCATTCCAGTAAAAGAGCTCTAGAGTTCAGAGAGGAGCTGGTAAGTGCATTAGTTGAAGGCAAGTGCTTTCGAAAGAATAGAGAATTTGTGCAGGCTCCTGTTGCTAACCCTGACATAAGGTTGAATTGGGATCAATCAATCAATCAATCGGTCAACTGGCAAAGTCCATCAGCAGAAAGTTAAGACAATATAAAGCTGTGCTATTTGTGGTGTTAGAACGTGCCCTGTGCCTTGTTTTGAAAGGCACCACACAGTGCAAAACTATGTTTTATGATGTTGAAAATCATGATGACCTGTGGCAGTTAAAAGAAGGGAGAGGAAGGCCATATCAACGAGGAAGAAGATCTTTGAGAAATAAACCCTTCTTTGTGTAAAAGAGCAATTATTATGCGCCGTTGAAGCACTTGACTTACGGTGAATGACCCATAGAAAAACTCTTTCCGTGTTTTCAATATTATTTATTTCCGTTTTTTTCTTAATTTTCACTTTGTGATGGGCAATTAAAAAACTGTTTTAAATTTTCAAAGTAGGGTTTTATTGACCAAAATATAATTTCTTATCCCTTGAAACATTGTTAACAGTTGATTACGATTTGCAATAAGGAGTCAAAAGTTGGAACGTTTTTTTAAGGGCTAGTGATTTCATCTAGAAATTTGCATAATATGCAAATTATGCATGTCATGATGTCACAATTTTGATACATTCCATAATTATTTTTATAATTGTTGTGAAAGTAGAAAAGGGCTGAATTTAAGTCACAAGTATCTGTGAGAGGTCATTAGGTTGTTCTGGCGGATGAATTTAAGAGGAAAACTTTTCAAGACTCAAGCAAGTGGAATAAATCCCAAGCCAACAGAGTTAGAAATCTTATTTGAGAAAATAGTGGAGAGATCTGAGGCGGCTGAACAGTCTAGACATGAAGAGGAGGAGAACACTTTTAATAAGACTCTGTTATAATATTGTTCAATTACAATTGGTCTCTTTAACTGCCTTCTACTTGATGAGCATAAACACTTATGCAGCTGTTGCACTAGTCCAAGTGAGGACAATACACCAATGATCACCAATCAGTGAACGCAATAATTCTCTTGAAAAATTCAGTGATCTAAACTTTTTACATACCATTAAAGCTGATAAATCTGCACCTCACATACGCTTACCCACTCAACACAGTGTTACAATTCCTGGTTAGGAATCGAACTATATCAACTATCACCTATTACTCGGCTGAGATAATTGCAGGCTTACAATTTTTACACCAAAAAAGTGTAATTCACAGATGAGTACACTGAGTATGAAAAGTACCTGAAACAAGTAAATAAACATCGTTTATTACACTCTTTGCGGTAAAATACAACTGAATTGTCAAGCGGTAAAATTAACAATTACGATACTATAATGTGCAAAATAATATGAAAATGGTCTAAAAATTTCAAGTTAATAAACACCTTTTTCTTTTTACATGTACTGAAACATACCTACAATCCTGGACAAAACGTTTGGGGCACTTAGTCATTTACACACGAACTGTGCATTCTCCAATCATCCCCCTCCCGCCCTGGACAGTGTTGGGTGTAACTGGCCTAAAACATTTGAGAAGACTTTTAAAGTGTATGAACTTCAACTTTGTTCTGGGGGGGAGGGGGAAACCAAGGCATAGCCGTATTGATAACTATAAATTGACGGTCACTCACCAATTTCCTGCCAAAAACCGAAGTGCACAGCGTATGCTGTCGCAGGAAAGTCAAGCCCCAAAAACAACCTGACAAGAAGAAAGGAGGGAGGCCAAGAAAAGTTAACAAACGTGGAATAAGAGTATTGACTCGAACTATTGAAAAGGTACATATAGACAACGTAGATTTCACCGTAAAGCAGCTAACCGTGAATGCTGGAATAAGTCACTTGACAAGCAGAGGGACTTTTTCGCGTTACCTTAACGAAAATGGCTTTAAATTTCTACAAAGCAGGAAGAAGGGTCTTCTTAGCGCAAAAGATCACTCACTGAGATTGAAGTATGTGCGAAAAATGAGGGGAAAGCTCACGGGAAGGCCTGATTTTTGGAGCAAAGATGTGGCTTTTCACTTAGATGGACTGTCCTTCGTTTACAAAAGTAATCCACTGAGCACAGCCAACCAACCAAAAGCCCGGGTTTGGAGACGACAATCTGAGGGATAAACTGTAACAGCCAAAGGATCCAAAGATCTTGCAGGAGGCAAAAGTCTACATGTTTTAGTAGCTATAAGTTATGGCAAAGGTGTTGTTCTTCGTGAAGCCTATGAAACAATGAACGGTAGTTTGTTTCTTCTTTTGTAATAGAAAAATTTTCTAGGTGTTTTGTAAGAGCAGGTGGAGAGAAAAATTGTCTTTTTGCACTGGACAACGATCCATCTCAAGTTTCAAAAACCATAAAATCAGCGTTCAAAGACATCCATGCTGAGTTCCACCAAATTCCTAGGAGCCCTTGCTTAAATCCCATTGAAACCATTTTCCATATTGTTAGGAAGATGCTAGAACAAGAGACCATTCGCCTTCAAATAGAACACGAAACCTTTAATGATTTTAAACCCAGAGTGATGGGATGTTTTGATTTAATACCTACAGATCTCATAGATCGCACGATAAGAAGCATGCCTAAAAGGTGCACGAATCAAGTATTAAATGTAAACTCATCAAGCGATGTTCATGAAACTTAAGTACGTTATTGCATTAAAGAAAGTCCATGTGAAAACGTTTTGCGTGGTTAATAACAATCGTGTCAGTGCAATAAATTTGCGATGCCCCATTGTCACACAACACACTTCTCCACTAGTGAATTCTCATTTTTGGTCTTTAGAAGAGGTACCAGTAAAATATTTGTCTACTTCTATAAAACCAAAAGTTTGTGCTATTCAAACGTGGCTTACTTTCTGAAATGAACATCTTCTTTGGCGGTTTACAACAGTGCTCCACAGTAATGTTGGTAAAACACTTTGCTATGAATAAGTCTATTTTAAAATATGCGATGGTGAGGACACCGATCTCAAGACGACAGCACAGTCAATTGCTCAACTGAACTGTTTTCGTCTTCTAATGTTGTTGTACAAAAAACAAGAATGTTTTGGATAAACGATTCAGGTGTGTGTTTAACTATACTTTTATTGAAAAAAGTTTGAGAAGTCTTGATGCTTCCAAAGGGTTTTGACTATTTGCTGATGTACCGAGAGTATTGTGTCCAATTCAAAACGCAAATGCAAAAGGCCTATTCCGTGCTGAAGTCATTTACCCATACACAAAAGGTTCTTATACAAGCAATTTTTTATCAGAGAGTACTAGCCACATTATTTTGCAGGCATATTATTAAAACTGGGTTAACCCAACTTTTTCAAGATTCAATCCACTTCCATCCTTGCCAACCCGCTTTCTAACAAACAACAAGAAACCGTTTCAATACCTAAATATAGTCTTAAACATCTGAAAGTACGTAACAAGTTTAATAACCTCCCTTGAAAAAATATCTTCCACAAGTGCTAAAACAGCCAGTACTAGAGGGATCAAGATTCATTTGTGCCCAGTTGCAGGTAATAAATCTCAAATTCGAACTAGAGTGAGAAGAAAAAGTAGTATCATGTTTTCAGTTCGTTTGTAATAAAGTTTGGTCGATCACCTTCTCATGGGATGACCTTGTCAGTTCAGTTAAGAGAACAAGAGGAAGAAATGATATTGTGGTGGACTGAACTGTGTCATTCTACACGATTAAATTCTTTGGATACCCTTCTTTCACAAATGATGAGAAGCCAGATAATGGATTCCATACATTCGTTTTGACACAGACCTGCTACGCCAGACTGACGTCCAACAAGCCATCCCTTACACCTGTCAAAAAAAGACATAATCCATTACATTGCTGGCTGTGTGTAAGTAAGTAAGGGATCGACTTTAGCCATGTAACAGTGAAAAGTTTCCAATGGTATTGTTAGTTTTAAATCAGAGGTTAACAAGCATGAAAACAGCACCTGCTGAAATGTCTCACCCCAATTTAATGTCTCTGTCTCTGTCTCTTTCCAGAGGCGGCCTTTCTCTTATGGAATATTCAACATTTAATTTCTTTTGCTAGAAGAAAGTTTCAATCCGACCTTTTTAACCAAGGCAGATTTTGGTGCAGCACTCGATGCTTTCACACTGAACTTCTAGATCAGTTGATACACTACTCAAACCTGGCCATTTTCAGCAACACTTTAATCTCAGGACAACAATGTGCTTCTTTAACTTTTTGTTTACCTTTTCTCTCGAGTGAGAAAATGGTCATACCTCAAACCGTACAAGAGGAGAGGAAATTGAAAGAAAGGAAATGCTCCTCGGTAAATACGGACTTGCAAAGAAAAGGCAGTATTTAGGAAAGCCCTCATGCATTCAGCTCAAGCTCTAACACTAATAAGTAGTAATTTCCCCGCTTAAGGCCATGTCCACATGTATCCAGAAATTTTTTTTTCCGCAAATATTTTTTTGCGGATGCGAAAATTTTTGCGTCCACACACAGCGTATTCGAATCGTTTTCAGCCGTTCACACGTATCGATTCTATCCGGAAATTTTCTGATTTGCTCTAGAGCCCAGTTCTTTTACCGGAGAGAATCCTGAAATGAGCATGCGCATAATTGCGATTTAGGCGCCATTTCTTTCGCGCCACAGCTATTGCGAGATGTAAACAGTCAAAGCTCGTAGATTATCGAAAAAATGTCTAAATCTACTGAAAAAGTCAAGAAAAAGTATGCTTCGTCGTTCAAGTAATATAGAGTTAAGGCAACTTGCTTCACATCATCCACAGGAGAATGCATGATGGTCTCTTTTCCCTCAATGTACGGTCTCAACTCTTCTGCTAGTTTCAGCAATGACCTTTTAGACATTCTAAAATTCTCTCTCCATTCTTCTTTGATCATTGTGCCATTGATAAAATTGTCCCACCATGCGCTTGTCCTTCCTGGTCGCATCCAGAATCGCCTTCAGTGATGGTTCGCTCGTTTTTGGACTTTATGATGCCCACTGTTCATTGATAACAATCTCAAAACATCCTGTCGATCTCCAATGTATTGGTTGTGTAAATTTATCACAGCTGCATTTATCGGAACGCATGATATCAAACTAGAAATCAGAGCAACTAACAAAGAAGCTACAACCTTGCTGCACGCCATGTTTGTTTATAATGCCCGCCGTGAAGACTGGATCTAAGAGAATGACGAAAGCTTATTCGAAAACTTCCGGATACGACTGTCCACACGTATACGTATTCGTATCAGATAAAAAAAATTCCACTCTGGAGAGCGTTTTTAAAACTTTCTGGATACGGCCGGAAAATACGCTGGATACGTGTAAACGCAAGCCGTAATCATCAAAAAAAATTTGCATTTTCACAAATTTTAGGATACGTGTGGACGATGCCTAACATAGCTACAAGTAAACCAGTTTTCTACATTTAATGCAAAGCAATAGACAAGATGTCATGATGTCTCAAAAACAAATAAAACGTTTGTTTGTGGACCCCTGTTGAAACACCATAACAGCCTTGGCTGAATTCAGTCATATTTGATGTCAGTTTCTTACGTACATAGATGGTGTATTTGTTAATGTAAGTCAGATTAAGGCAGCATAGAGCTGATGTGGACCTACAATATATAGTAGGTATATCTAATTCCACATGTAGCAATAATTGTGTTATCAATTCTCATGGCCTTTAATCTTTAATTTCTTATTTATCCTTTGTTTCAAATTCATTAGCATTTATTACCACACCCAAAAACAATGATAAAATAAAAATTAGCTGAAATAAAAAAATTAACTACAACCTAGATATTGCTAGGAGAAAATTGATACTCTGTGGACTTGAAGGGTTAAAGATTTAACTCTATGATGGTAAAGTCATCTCTGTGTTGTGGTTTCCGTTTAAACTGGTTAACAACTCCATTTCCTTTCTTTTTCCATCAATTTATTAACATACATTATCATATGACAAAGGAAAAAATTTAAACCAAGGATAAAATTGAGCCACAACACCTGCATTAAGCATCTTTTCCACAGACAATGAGGGTGAATATGGTTTACATTGACAGAGCATAAGGCATAGTAATCTGAACAGAAAACTTGTTAAAACAGCTGTGAAATACAATGTACACGCATTCTGTGATGTTGGTTAGTACTATTTTTGCATTGTGCATCTTGATCAAGCAGAGTGAAAGATAGCTTGATTCAGAGGGAGAGAAGTAAAGGGGCCACAATTGATATCAGACATCTGAGAATCACGCCGAATGAAAGACCACCTGCTTCTTGTGCTAGGTTAATATATAGATTTAGCCAAAGCTAAAAGCGAATGCTCCCATTAATGAAATTATAATTCAAATCAAACACATTCATGTGACTTTTGAGGAAAAAGCTAAATGATGTTAAAGGGAGTGTGACACGCTTCAGTGCATGTGCGGCATCTTGATTTCTGTTCTGGCGAACAGTTTTTCAAGTTTACTGTCAGGGAAGAAAATCTCTTTCCATCATCCTGTTTCGGCTAGCAACCTTGTTGAAACCTTGTAAAAAGAATACTTGATCATCGTTGGGCGATTCTAGTGGTATATGTGTGTATATTTTTTAAAATTAATTGAGAAATTGGATGTCGATGCGAGAAGGTCCCGTGGGGAGGTGTACAATGCGGCTCGGGACAGAAGCTGCTTTCGCCTCGAACCCAGTTTGTATCCAAAGGAAGACAGAAAAAGGCAAAAGAACAGTGGGATGAGGATCACAGAAGGATATCTGTGGCAAGAGACGTTCATAACAGCTGGAGGACAATGAAGTGTATGTGTGTATATTCGTCAGACAGGGCCTTCGCTCAACATCTTTTGTCCTTGGAGATGCGACTAAGAGTGGGGTAAGTCACTTCAGTTTTATTGTTTTAACATATCTTTTCTTCCCCCTTAGTTTATACACGTATCATAAACATATTTCTCCCCTCTAGTTTGCTTCGGATTGTGGCTTCCAAAAGTGGAGTGCGTGGCTTTGGAACCAATAAAGCTCCTTTGAGTGCGCAAAGCCCACGGAAGCATCTTGATCTGGGATCATCTGCTGAAATTGAAGGTAAACTTTGTTCACTTACGGAAAACTCTTCCTTATAAGCTATCTATTTGCTTTAGCTTTGCAGCTGCTTTACGTTTTTTGGCTAGCCTTCGAAGACGTTGACATTACAATGTAGTCATTTGTTGTTTTGATACAGATCCTTTTTATCCTGGAGTAACATCTACTCCTTCCAAGTCTTGAGACGTGCCAATGCAGAAAACTCCCATAGTTTTACAGAAGAACAGGAACTTTGATTATATAATTCACCATTCACTTATGTCTATGTATCCTAATTCTGAGAAACTTGTCTTTGATACCTTACATTAGTTCTTTGCTTATATTACTACTCTGCTAGCCATGTGGGTGAATGGAAGGCATAGGCTAATCAATTGCTGATTTTGACAGTCATTTCTATTTGCAGATTATTTATGTCTGCCACGAATTTTATGATCATTATGATCATCCTGTCACTGCTTGCATCACTTTGACCAGTGAGTTTCAAGACAAGCAAAAGATAATCACTAAATTCATCTTTTTACCATCTAAATATACACCATGTTTTGTGTGCTGTAATACTGCAGATACGTATACATCACATCAATGGAAAAGATGTTTTGCAATATCTTGTGTCATCTAGATCTTTCAGCTGTTGGTTGTTGCTTCCTTTTCAGCTTTGATGCAGAGGTTGATGTCACAGGCAGTGAAGTAACAACTGTTGATGAGAGGAGTTTCGTTGTCGAGAAAGGAGAGGTTTCTATTTTAGACAATAAGGATAAGCAAGACAGTGATTCACAGGGCAACACAAGTAGTGACAGTGATGTGAAGTTAAAATATGAACGGTAAATAACAGCTATCAACACCGCAATTACAGAGGTGCTGAGTTGCATTAATTGTGCTATTATAAGTCAAATTAAGGCAGTCAGTAACCCAGAAGAACCACCCACTATGGTGTTTTCCAGCATTGCTGACCTTCCAGCAGAAAATAGAGGGAAAATCAGGCCTTGTATTGCTTGGGCTGTTTCAAGAGAACGGGAAAAAAATAGAAAAGAATTTAGACGACATGTTAATGTGGAAGATGCCAAAATGTGTGCTTTGACAAACAAGAGTGGTATGGATGCTATTCACAGTTGTGATTACACGACTTGTGTCATAGTTATACAAATCAATGCCCCTTTATTTTCGTGTTACATGAGTGTAAGTGTTCAGGTTATCTTTTATTCAGACCACCAGGGATGTGTGAGGGCCGTTAACAAAACCCTGATCAGATTGCTTGGCGGATCGGATCACAGATCGGATCAGACTGGCATTCAGCTTAAATTCCTGCCAACATGTAATGTGAATAGTTTTGTACGATGGCCCAGGAGGTCACAGTCCAGTATTTGTTTTTGACAGTCCAGTTATGGTTTTACACAGTCCAGTTATGGTTTTACACAGTCTAGTTTTAGTTTATACACAGTCCAGTTTTATTTTTCTTACACAGACCAGTTTTATTCTTTTACACAGTCCAGTTTTAATTTTTCACAGTCCAATTTTATTTTTTTACACAGTCCAGTTTAATTTCTACACAGTCCAGTTTTAATTTTTACACAGTCCAGTTTTAATTTTTACACAGTCCAGTTTTATTTTTTTACACAATCCAGTTTTATTTCTACACAGTCCAGTTTTAATTTTTACACAGTCCAGTTTTATTTTTTTACACAGTCCAGGTTTAATTTTTACACAGTCCAGTTTTATTTTTTTACACGGTCCAGTTTTAATTTTTACACAGTCCAGTTTTAATTTTTACACAGTCCAGTTTTATTTTTTGCGTGGTTACCAGACCTCTCTCTCACTACTGCAACACCTGTTATCTAACGGCAGCCATTTTGTATTTCCTTGCGACGATGGATTCAATCATCAGGCAGGCTGTTCGAGTGGAACTGAGACGTTCAAGTTCTAGTCGTCCAGAAACTGCGTCTTCTACTAATCAACATGACCGGGGCAGAAGTGAAAACGAATTGGATGCAGCTGGATCATCACGAAGTTCGTTTTCATCATGAACAGTGGGCCGATGTTTCTAAAACGAAGACCCAAAAACGAAGACCTAAGACTTAAGACCCCTTGGACTAAAACGAAGACCCCTGTGGAGTAAACTCTAAACACTTTGGATGTGTTTACGGTGATGATGACGTCAGTTTTGTTTAAATAAAAGTACATTCGAGAAAGCTTTCGTAGTCTTGTGGTAACGTCCTTAGGTACATCGGAAGGTCTCTCGGGATCGAATCTCGCCAAACGGAAGTATGTTTTTCCTTTTTTTTCTTTCATTTTTATTTTGTTATCATTATAACTGCTTGAGCCGTAAAAGATAAGTCATTTTTTACAATAGAGGTCAGAATAAAGTAACAGGGATATAAATATAACCTGGTATGTATACGAATGATCCTTGCTTGCATGAAACTCGAAATCTACACCTTTAGTAGAGTGATTTACTGGATCGACAGCTTTTTTTCGATTGATGAGGTAAAAAGTAATAAAAAGAGCGCAAGGTTTCCCTCTTCTTGTATTCATCATTGCTAAATGTCTTGTTATTTCCTCCCTACGCCGGTTATTTTGTTTTGTAAATGTATTGATCGATACAATTGTTCAACATTTTAGAACGCTAGAGCACTCGGTTATATTTTCTTAGTGGTCGATAGAAGAAAAGGTGGGTGATAGACTTATTACAATTAAATAGCACAGAGGAAATTCCACAACACTCCTAAATCGCCGTAAGAGTTTAATCCACAGGGGTCTTCGTTTTAGTCCACGGGGTCTTAGGTCTTAGCCCAGGTGGGGGGGGGGGGAGTACTCGATATATCCTTGGGTGTGGAGGTGCGGCCCGGCCCTTCATACCCTGACCCTGTTTAAGACAAAAATTGCAGATTTTCCTACCCTGTTTAAGACATTCGCACAACATACGCGCAGGCTGTTTATCGTCCAAGAAAAGATACCCTGTTTAAGACAAAAAATGATAAAATCGATACCCTGATCACGACAAAAAATGATAAAATCGATACCCTGTTCGAGACAAAAATCCCGAAAAACGTACCCTGGCTGCCCGCACGTCCCCATTAAGCCCCTATAAGGGAGTACCCCCCCTCCCCCGGGGTCTTGGGTCTTCGTTTTAGAAACGGCCCAAAAAAATACCCCAAACGGCCCAAGTCGGATGTTATCCACAAATGGCCCACTGTTTGTGATGAAAACGAACTTCGCGATGATCCAGCTGCATCTGATTCGTTTTCACTTCTTCCCTGATCATCAAATTAAAACTGGACTGTGTAAAAATAAAATTGGACTGTGTAAAAAAATAAAACTGGACTGTGTAAAAATTAAAACTGGACTGTGTAAAAACTAAAACTAGACTGTGTAAAACCATAACTAGACTGTCAAAAACCAATACTGGACTGTGACCCTCCTGGGCCATCGTAGTTTTGCTTGGGATCGAGGGCTCAAATTTAATTTTTTTTAGGTATGCAGATGGGATAAGCATGTAATTGCCATTTAATTTGACAGCATGAGAAATTATTTTTGTGAGGCTTTTGAGATTTCGGAAGTCTACACTGAAGTGCGTTTAAAAGAACTTAGCAATATTTGACTGATTTTCACTTGAAGCACATGACTTAATGTACACTATATTGCTTTGCTGGGGTAGACACCTGAGCCTGGCTAAATTTGTATCATAATCAAAATGTAATTCTCTTTGCAAAGTTTTTATTACATTCGTTCAAATATAAGTTCCATTGCAATTTTTATAACAATGATGAAAAAAGTTCATATCCCCTTTTGCTTTGAAGGTGTAAAGTTGTAGGCAAGTAACACAAAAGAGTTTCCAACAATAAGCAAAATAAGACTATTTTTAACCACAACATAATGGCTTTTCTGTTTCTCAGTTGTAATTTGAGCTGTTTTTCTTTTCAAGGTTGTCGATCTGACTGTCAGACAGTCCGAAAAAGAAACCTGCTGGTGGAAAAAAGATACCCAATAGATCTGACCCATCAAGTGACGACCCTGGTGTAAGTCCTTTAAAGGGAAGTGAAAAGTTCTACAAATGGAAAGAAATGCATCCCAATTGTAGGAAGACACAAGACAATGTTTACAATGGAAGGAATGGTGAAGATGTTGTTAAATGCAAGAAACGATAATCTATAGTGTAAAGTGCACTCCAGCTTTTATTGTAGTACAGTAAACACCTGTATATGAGAACAAATGGATTAAGAACATCACGCTGAAATTTTTCCCATAGAGCACCAGCCTGATAAATAAAACATGTTCTTATATAATAAGGGAGAGGGTGTCAGAATAAGAAAAACATGTAACTATGATTGCCGCTAGATAATTACAATATCATAACAGTTGCCCGGGTGTGTTTAGGATCTTCTGCTCCAGAGGATCATGTTATGCTAGATCAACAGATTTTACTTTATTCCTGAAAAAAATTTTCTTCGCACATGGCCCAAGCTGTTTTAACCTGTTTTTTTTTTTTTTCAGGTGTCCTAGCCATCTACTTCCTTTAACAAACTTTATAATATGCCTTTATTGTCGATTCTGCTGCTTCTCAAGTGTATGGAGAGTGCAGACATGTGGAGCTGTGCTCCCGAAAATTCTTTCTAAATTTTAATCAAACAAATTTAGAATCTTAAGTCAAATCAGTAAGGTTCCTGTTGAATAAGCCGAGATAATGAGTACACCATCGCGTAAAAACAGAAGCAAAAAAACTGATCAAGTTCACGAAGAGTCCCTTTCTATCAAAGATGGCGTTGACGAATTAGAACAAGAAGGTGATGGCGACTATGTAATAAAGGCGTATGTATATGAGATGATGAAAATGCAAGAATCGTTGTTTCGCAATTTATTTGATTCATTGTTGACAAATGTTAACAGCAGCTAAAATCTAGCCTACAGTTCACCCAGAAAGACGTTGAAGACCTAAAACCAGTAACCGAGCAGATGACTAAGATTGGAAAAGAGCTGGGAGAAGTCCAAGCCCAGGTTGATTTTCATTGTGACAAGATGGAATATCTCGAGAACCAGAGCCGTCGCAACAATATTAGAATTGATGGAATCCCTGAGGAACCCGATGAAACTTGGGAAGACACTGAAAGTAAAGCTAAAGTGGCGATAGAATCCAAACTCAATCTTCCTTTCAAGGTAGAAATCGAGCGAACTCATCGTACTGGTAAAGTTATTCGGCGCTCTGACGACAACGCTTCATCTACGCGTCCTCGTACAGTTATTTGTCGCCTGGTAAGCTGAAAGCTAAAGGATCCAATATTAAAGGCCACGAGGATTGTAAAGCCAGACGGAATGTTTGTCAATGAAGATCTTGTGGCTGAAACTCTTCAAAGGCGTAAAGATCAACTGCCGAAACTAAAACAAGCAAAGCAAGCCGGAAAGATTGCCTACTTTGTGTTGGATAAATTGATAATCAAAGACAGACCCTTGATCTAGTTTAACTCAGATAAGTTGACTCCTTATTTAATTCTTTGCTAATATGAGCGAATTTCCTTTTAATCATCTCAACGATGTGTCTTTTAATCTTGCCCTTTATGAGTTAGCTCACGGCCCACTGCGTTTTAATAATCGATTATAATGCCTATACCTTAACCCGATAAGTAATTGCAATACTGTAATATCCAGTGACATTGATCCAGATAATATATAGATTTAGCAAGGGCTAAAAGCGAAGCTCCCATTAATAAATTTATATTTTAAATCAAACAATAAACTTGTAATCCACAAATCAGTTAACTTAAGGGCACATTCATGTGACTTTCGAGGGAAAGGATAATTCAAAGTAGACAGACTGCAAATAATCTTAGTTGATAAAAAATATATATTTACGTGTCGCAACTGTTCATCAGTAGGTTGCCTAAAATGCGTGCAATTCCACAATTGGTTTCGGCTCCATTACAGTGAAACATCTTACATCGAGTTGATAGCCTAAATATATGTACACCCAAAAAATAGCAAACATCTTCTATCACATTCAACAGCCATAATGGCTCTTGATCACAGTAGATTAGGCCTCGAAAACAAATTCTTGGAAAACAAATCAGGCCGCATTTTTTTGCTTTCGACAGGTTTACTTTACAAATTCTTGCCAACAAATCTCAGGCTGTGTAAACCAGCTTTTTATACTTTTTATACATCACATCTGAGGTGAAAAAGTACTTTTTATCATACAGACCTCGGACAGAATACGGCATTTCACAATTTTTCAATATTCAGGACGATCAATCGTGGGCTTTTAGCGAAACCGTTCAAAAAATTTCTAAAATCACCCATACGGCCAGCCGGTTCTCATATTTAGTGCGAGCTGTCAGTGTGATCGAGTGTTTGAATGAACTTTAATGGAGATACGCTTCAACATAATAACGAATTTAATATCATTATTTTTTGTTGTTTAATGGTTCCAGTTATAACGATGTGTAATCTTATAAAGCGTTTGATAAACGCGATGTTCATGAACGATGAAAACAAACACCACGGACAAGCGATTAAAATTGCAAGAGAGACTACTAACAATCAATAAAAGAAATATAATTCGGTAAAACATTTACAGAGACAACAATTTTCATTCACGAAGACAAGTATTAAAGTGTCTCTAAAAATCCAGAGTCTTAAAGCTTAAAGCTTAAGCTTAAGTTTATTTTGTTTTACTTTCAGCCGGCCTCCCGGTGTTTGTTTTTTTTTTCACAGATGAACTCCTCGAAACAAGAAAATCACTCAAAGTTTTCTTTCTACAGCCAAATTTACAACTAAATATTCTTCGGAACGTTTTTTTTTTCTAAATGCCGTGAGAAAGTATATCTGAAGGCCTTTTTAAGTTCTGTAAGCTTATATCAAACCAGATACTAGATCAGATCATTGACTCAAATCTCAACAAACGTGCAAAAACTTGCCGAATTAACTGTGCTCGACTTCATGAAATTAGATATAACAAAAACAAACATTAAATACAATAATTACTCAGGCTTACCATTCGAGATTCAGTTCCTGAAAGATGTCATGGAAGGCCATAGTTGCTTGAGACTTTTAAACCCTCTTACGCATTGAGCAAAGTGAAAGACGAAAACGATGCCATCCGAAATCGGATTACCCAATTTTGACAAGCGACGCATTTCTCAACCAAAAACCAATAAACAAACAAGCCATGGATAACAGAAGACTCTTGATAGCAGCTGTATTTCATTTTGTACATCCGGTGGAAAAAGACAGTTAAAAACATCACAAGTTGACAAAAAACTTTGTCAGCTTTTGCTGTCAAAGTAAACAACTTTCAAGATGCTGCATAAATTTTCCGCATGACTCACCTGTCAAATTTTGACCAATCAGAGTACAAAAATTGGACGAAGAGCGTGACCAACGCGTGACCATGGCAAGAAAAGTCTTCCCCGCCTTTATTTTTAAAAAAGTGGCTGAATTTTCGCGTCCGAGGTCAGTTTGAAATCAAAAACTTGACAGTGCGGGGCCATAGTGACATAAACACAACATATTTCATATGAATCATTGGAAAAAATAGACTTGAGCCTGCGATCATTTGAAACTGGTAATTTGTCAGCGGATAACTTCAAAAGAGTACTCGACCTCGATGGGTCGACACTTGAGCCCACGGTACGGTCACGTGATACTGGTCAGCTGATATCCTGTTTTGACAGCTGTCAATTGATCACAACATTGATGTGCAATTAGTTTTCTATTGGGCTCCCAAACTAGCTAGAAAGTGTGAGTAAAAATTGGTTTCCCTGTGGTGCGGACGGACGGTCGTACGGTCACGTGATTACCAAATTTTCTCGGATGGGTAGATTACCACATTTCCTTAGCTATGGGGCTCTGTCCGCTAGTAATTTTCTAAATCTTACTTTTAAATGTAGTTACTATAACGAACCAGAACTAAATGACCTAATTGGTAATAAGAAGGATGCTATCAACTTTTCGCTTTTGCATTTAAATGCTCGTAGCTTACTTAAAAATTTTGACAAATTTACCCAACTCTTAGATTCTTCGCAGCATGAGTTTTCAGCTATAGGTATCTAGGAAACTTGGCTAAATGATATTAACAAAGATTATGTAAACATTACTGGCTATCGTTTCATCTCATCAAATAGAGTGGGCAGGACTGATGGAGGCGCAGGCCTTTATTTACGCGACACTTTCAACTTTAACATTGTCTGATCTGTGCTCGTCAAAGTCCGCCTTATTTGACTCTGTTTTTGTTGAAATCGAAAATCCGCATCGAAAAAACTTTATTATCGGTACAGTTTATCGTCCTCCTTCTGCTAATTTGCATGAATTCCTGGAATCTTTTCACCAATTGCTTCATCGGGTAACCAGGGACAATAAAATGTGTTACATAATGGGTGATTTCAATTTAGACCTTCTTAACACTGATTTGCATTCAGCTACGAACGAGTTTATTAATGCGTTATTTTCTCATTTTCTTTACCCGCTAATTTCGAGACCAACTCCACATACTTCGTATAGCGCCACCCTGATTGATAATATTTTTACTAACAATATTCCTGCCTTGTGTGACAATGGACTCATTATTAATGATCTGTCCGACCATTTACCAATCTTCACACTCTGTTACACTGATGCTCATTCTTCAACAATTAAGCCTAAGGAAAGTGTTGCCATTCACAACTTCTCTAGTCAAAATATTAATGCATTTAACAACCTTTTACAATGGGTTCCTACAAAAATATACTGAATTTTATAACAAGAGTTTTCCGATAAAGTTTTGTCAAGGGAAAAACCCAAAAACTCTGCATAATCCGTGGTTTACAACTGGAATCTTGAAATCAATTAAAACAAAGTCTAGGCTGTATAAATTGTTCTTAAGGAAACCAAGTCATGAGCGTGAATCCAGCTATAAGTCATTTAGAAATAAGCTAACTTGTCTTGTTCGTATCGCCAGGAAAAATTATTATGACAATAAATTGGATAAGGCTAGATCAAACTTAAAGCAAACATGGAAAATTCTTAATGAAGTGATCAACAGGCGTGTCGCTAAATCGCCGTATCCTGCACACTTCACCAAAAATGAAATGGAAATTAGCAATCCTACTGACATTGCCAATAAATTCTGTGATTACTTCACCAATATAGGGCCAAATTTGGCGAGCAAAATTCCTTCCACAAATTCGTCACCCAAGGATTTCTTAAGCAGCGCTCTTTCCGAATCCATTTCATTGCAACCAGTAACGGTCGGTGAATTAAACAATATTGTTAAGTCGTTCAACGCCAACAAAGCTCCTGGACATGATAATATATCCATGAAGATAATTCACCAGTCTTTCCAAAATATTACGCAGCCTCTTGTAACCATTATAAACACTTCGTTGTCTACTGGTGTGTTTCCTGAATCTCTCAAAATAGCCAAAGTGATTCCAGTTTTTAAGGCAGATGACCCAACACTTTTTAGTAATTACAGGCCAATATCAATTCTTCCAGCCTTTTCTAAACTCTTTGAAAACGTCATGTACAACCAACTGATTAATTTCTTAAATTTGCATAATATTTTATACTCGAAACAATTTGGATTCCGTAATAATCATTCGACTGCATTAGCTTTAATTGGCTTGATCAACAACATATCTTCAGCTATCGACAGAAATGAAACAACTTTAGGCATCTACTTAGATCTTTCTAAGGCGTTTCATACTATTAATCATGAAATATTGTGTCAAAAACTGCAACACTATGGTATTCGGGATACTGCTTTGGCGTGGATCAAAAGCTATCTTGAAGATCGGACTCAGTTTGTCCAGTTTGGGTCCCATCGATCTTATCCGCGGAAAATTTTATGTGGCGTCCCGCAGGGCTCAATTCCTGGACCTCTTTTGTTTATTATTTACATTAATGATCTTCCTAATGTCTCTAGTCTCACTCAATCTTTACTGTTTGCTGAAGACACAAGTATCTTTTGTTCCCATAAAGATGCCAATCACCTCGTTTCTATTGGTAACAATGAACTTGCAAAAATAATCATTTGGCTTAAAGTGAATAAGTTATCTCTAAATCTGACTAAAACAAACTTTATGATTTTTCATCCAAGGCAAAAGAAAGTCAATGTTAATGTCCCTCTTACTCTGGAATATACCGTGATCAAGCAAGTCACGGAGACAAAATTTTTAGGTGTTCTCATTGATCAGCATCTCTCTTGGAAACCACATACTGATTTCGTCTCAAAAAAAATTTCAAAAAGTGTGGGAATTACTGCGAAAGCCCACTTTTACTTATCATCCCAAACTTTGATGACCTTGTATTACTCCCTTGTATATCCTTTCTTAACATACTGTAATGTCGTCTGGTCCTCCACCTACTCTTCCAACCTAAACTGTATTTACCTTTTGCAAAAGCGTCTAGTGCGACTCATAACAAAAGCTCACTATCTAGCAAATACCGCCCCTTTATTTAGCCAGCTTAAAGTCCTTGACATATTCAGTATTAATTCATTTTCTGTCGCTACCTTTATGTATTCTTATCACCATAATCTTTTGCCTAATAGCTTTCACGACTTGTTCTTAAGTAGTAATCAAGTCCATCAATACAAAACTCGACTAGCCTCTCAGTATAGACCTCATTTTGTAGAACAAATATAAAGCAATTCAGTACCCTTTACCGAGGACCTAAAATCTGGAATTCGTTGCTTGTTTCACTAATTAGCTCTCCTTCTACATCTGTTTTTAAAAAAAATTTAAAGAATTATCTCACTGATAGCCAATCTGTCGTTTAATTTTCTGATCTTGCTCACTCTGCACTCAGCCATGAACTCAGTTCACTAGGTAGTTGAAGGAAGCCTATTAATATAAGCTTCAAGCTTCGTTAGGCTTCCTTGTCACATTAATTTTATAATTTAATTAACACCTATTGTTCACGTTGTGTAAAATTTTGTGAGTGACTAAATAAATAAAATAAAAAATAAAATAAAAAAATAAGATGTGTGATATTCTGAATAAACATGAATAAATGATTCCCCAAAGAGTATTTGTCATTTAGCCCAAAAACAAAACACACATATAAGTGCAAAATGACAGAGACTACACATGCGAAATATCTGCTTAACTAAAACATCTCACACATGTAAGCTTATACAATCTGACAACTCTTTTACCTAGAGCCCAGGCTCACCAGATACTGTTCAATATATTCCATTAATGTCAGTGATTCAGATGAAAGAGTTGATTCTTTCAGCCATTCAGTATGATTGGAAGATGATTCACCCCCAGCATAAGCAATGATCACCACTTTGATGATCCTGATGTTCATGAGCCTCTTGATGATGAACGTATTCCACACAAGAATTGGCTGTCTGTCATTAGTTATTTGAAGAACCTTGGTTACCAAGAATCCCAACATTATAAAATATGCTGTTCTAATGATCATGTGAAACGTCTCGAGTATGCAACCCCATGCCCGGAATGCGAGAGGAACTGGTGTACGTACCTGGATTATTTCGTTTTGGGAATTCAACTTGAAAACGTCTTTCTGGATAGAGTAACAATTGAACACTTGGCACAAGGGTTTAAAGGAAAGCCAGATGGCATAAACTGCAAAGAAACTTGGCATGATCAAACAGAAACTCTTTTGCCGACCACATGCCCAAATTGTGTCAGTGTGTTGAAAAGGCTGCTCATCCTGGAAGCTCTTTGAGAAATCCCATCCAACTTCGCTGTAGCAACTGCATGTTTCCACTTCTACATACACCAAAGTTCATGAAGTGGGATCCCCTTAACCAACCATACAACTTTCATGAAGATGGATTTAATGCATTTGTGAAATAGAGCAGAGAATGGCTACCTTTTAACTGAGTAGTGCGTGAACATACAAAGATGAAAGGTCAAATTATGAAATTGTGATCTCTTACCCAGCTGTATTAGTATATAGGCTTGATTGGTCATCTTGAAAGCTGGTGCAAAGTAGTTTTACATGCACCAAGGACCTATTTAAGTTGCATAATCTACAAGCCACTGTTGTTAGAAAGATACAGAGATAAAGATATGGCTAAACGCAAAAGAAAGCAAGTACCGGCAACTTCACGTCCACCAAGTTCATGATCTGAGGATGAGGATGCGCCAGCATTTTGCATACATTCTACAAATTCGATCACTAAAACTAATGAATGATTTTAACAATTTACAATGCAACTGTAAGGTACATAGAGTTTTCTTAATATCAAATCCGTTTTTATATAACTTTGACCAAAGTCGTTCCAAATTCGTTTCTTCTTCAAATTTTTGTTTTTTAAGTGCAAAAACCTTCTTATTAGCTAAGCAGGAAGGCTTTATTTTAGTTCTTAGCCAGTTCGTGAATTTTCTGACAAAAACAAACGATAAATGTAATGAAAGAAGAAAAAGCCGATTTTCTCAAAATCACCAAATCGTCACTTCAAGCTTTCTTTCACATACCCCTTCATTTATTTTTTGAGATCCGTGAAGCATGTGCGTGTTACACCATTTCTAGAGTCCGGTGGTCTTCCTTTACCAGCCAATGAAAATGAGAATGAAAAGAGATGTAAGCGATAACATTTTCGATTCATTTATATACAATTCTGCTTCGGTATAAACAAATAAGTTCACATTTTATTATACATGCCTTCAGTTGAGATGGGTTTCTTTTTGTTTGATACTGAGAAAAAGAACATCGCCTTCGATTAGGAGAGGCCACAAACTTTTCTGCCGAAGAAGCATACAAGTTGCTTAGCCAGGCTGCAAATATCACCCATCAATAATGTCACAAAATGCATCAACGCAAATTGGTGCCAAAAGTTGTTAATGAATTATTTGTACCAAATAACTACACACAACAATCAGTCGTAGACAAGCTGTTTGTGAATTAGTAAATCATGTAGGCTCGAGGCGATTTAATAGTCAATAATTTGATTTGAGTCAAGTTAAACAAAGTTGTTCCCTTATTTTGTTATTTCCGTTTTATAGATTTGTGTGATATAAAAGCTAAACTATGCTGTTTCCCTGTATGAGTTCAATGTGCAGATGGCATGTCTTGTGTCAAAGGAATAGACAGATTTTAAACTGACCGAAGACTCTGATCTCCTGTCTTATGGATGCAAGAAGGTGGAGCTTCAGAGAAAAAGCGTTGAAATTTCAAGATTTTCATTCGCTGACAATTCACGATGTTAAGTATACGGTCATTTTTTGAATGGGTTAACTTAGCATATCAAAGGTTAAAAATAAACTTTTGAACCCAAATACTACTTTTTTGTTGTTGTTGTCTGTAATGTCTACTGAGGCACAGGAAATGGGGAAACACACCAAACATGGGGTGGATACTGATAGTATGAGGAGGCTAATTTATAGAACAATTTTCTTTGTGCTTACATTTCAAATTTTACCTAAAGCAGTTCCATTAGCAGAAAATAATAACACAGCCGTCAACATGATAACGAAATGCTTATTTCTTTCTGTATGTATAGGTTATGAATGCAGATGGCAAAGTTTTCGACTTATGTGAGATCCTGAACGGCTTGACACTTCACTTTGCCCAGTTCAAACAGATGTGTATACCTGCTGGATGTGATCACTTGAAGAACTGGAGAGGAATTGGAATTCACAAGGCATGTGATATGGCTGCAGGAGATAGGGATGTTTTAGATGCACTGATAAGCAAAGGAGCAGATGATGAGTACTGCGAGAATTTTAAAATGGCTCTTGCAGTCGTCAAACATCAGACAGTGTTCAATTTGGAATCCTGTTCCACTCGTCTACTTGATAAATGGGAATCTGACTCATCCATTGGAATGCATCACCTCTGTGGATTGTATCCTTGTTCAGTTTGTACGCAAATGGAAATGTTTTTATCATAATTGTCTTATGCCACACGCAATTCTTCTTAATTTTTATGGGTTTTTCAGGTGTTTGGTACATGTTTTAAATGGCACAATAACACAATGTATTTGTTTACAATGATAGAAAGTTCTACTTAATACTGTAGTGTAGAAATCTGGATGATTCTTTAGCTATGGAACTGGTGGTGGGGAATGTCAACACCGAAACTCATGAGGTCAACAACTTTCCTCTTGTAAAAGGAAAGGAAATTTTTGCTGCCAAATAGGATATTTATGCTTTCTCATAGCACTCTTTATCAGTTGTTTAGTACTTTGCTGTATGCATAATCAATTCTATGTTTATACCAAGGGGTAAGCAATTCGGCAATTAATACTACCCCCTTCCTTGTGAAGTCATGCACATGATTAGACTGATGCATCCATTCACCTCTCAGACTCTTTGAGGCAACAAGACTTTTGTCACCACTTTACTCCTTTCTGCGTTTTAAAATAAGAATATGGCTTAATAGCCACTAGTCTCCATACATTCAGACGTTTATTTAATATTGCTTGCCCCCTTAGTTTTGTCGCGAATACTTCATTCAATCTTTTATCCTGTCCCACGTGTCACCACGATCACTTGTCATGACTTTGTTTTCTCCCCTTGTTCTCCTTATGGCAGTTAATCTTCCCAAGGTCCATATTTTGGGCCATTCTTTTGACAAGCAGTTGTCTTGGGACGTTAGCAGGGGTTCTAACGACAGAACGGATTTAAACTTTGGCCTCCAGGGCTCTCTTTCAGTACATTTCTACGGCGTGAGTTGACAAACTTCGCGCTTTCAATCTTGGTGTAATCAATTCCCTTGCCCCTGAAATTGTTATCCTGGAGATCGGCACTAATGACCTTGCTAATTTGCCGCCAGAAGTGATAGGTTCAGCGCTGGATGATCTAATTCAGTTGCTTTTGTCTAGTTTTCCCGTGCATGTGGTTGGTTGGTGTTATGTCATACCTCGTGGTCTCTCACATCCTGACTCGGCGCTCTTCAGGCAGAGAGCTGAGATACTGAGCAATTATGTTAGTGTGGTACTCGATTCTACCCCCAATGTTTTTTGTTGGCACCACAGAGTTTTTAATCGTCCAGCTAAGGATCATTATTTACCAGATGGTGTTCATTTGCATTCTCTGAGTTGTATCGTAGCTCTCGTAGGGCCATTTTGAAAGCTTCGTCCTACCTTTAATGTTTCATAAAGCATGGGGTTTTTGTTTTTCGCTAACTTTACCCGGAGTTTCATCCTCATGAAATTTGATCGAAAAATAGTTCATAGTTTGTTCACCGGGTGTATCCCTTGCCTGTTGTGGACGTTGACCTTGTCCTCAAATCACGCATTTTACTCTCTAAGTTGCTGAAGATTATCCTCCAAGTTTATTTTATATACAGGGTGTACTCCTTGCAGTTTGTTTTTTCTGTTGCACATTGTACTCGTTCCATGTGGTGCATTCCACATTACAGACGGTTATCTTGTTTTTTATATGCAGGGTGTATTCCTCGCAGTTTTTATTTCTGTTGGAGTTTGTCCTCAGATCATGTGGTGTACTCCATGTTACAGAGGGATATCCTCTTGTTCAAATTTGTGTGGGCAGTTTATAATTAGGCTTTTAGCGTCAACTTTATCATTGACAGGTTTTCCTTGTCCTATTTATTTCATGATTTTATTTGTACGTGTTTTATCATCTTGTTTTTAGCCCATGTCTCATTGGGATTCTTTTTCTCGAATGGATACTACTTTTCTGGAACGCTTTGATTCTGCCATCTTCCTTTTGCCCCCTGTAATTTTAGTATTATTCAGAGATGTCGACTCAAACTTCTCCTCGCGCCTGTGCTCCATCCAACCTAGCTGTACAAGCTGCAGCCAATAGTCAGCCTTCCAGAATGTGGTTGCGCAGCGGTGGACCATCATCTGTTTCTTCCCTTGGCGGTCCTTCCGCAAGGGTACAGGAGATATCCACAAGCATAAACTAGACACCAGCAAGTGTACAGGAGATTCCCCTGACCACTGAAATCATCGACACCATTGTTCAGCACGTCATGGATGCTGTAACCCAGCATCTGGCCAGTGGTTCTAGCACTGACAATACGCAGTCCTTGGCAGTTTCAGCCTCCACTCAGCTAACTACCAGTTCCGCGACCCCAGGTTTAGGTCCTCCCGCCACTTTGCTCGAGGTCCCCGCTGGGGCCGCACACAGTACAACACTCCAAGCTCAAGTTGCTGGCCCAGCTACCACAGCTCCACCAGCATCAGGTCCATCGACTTCATCCTCATTTGCTGAAGCTGTTGTGAACACTTTCCTGGCCATGGCACAGGCTAGCATTGCAGGTATACCCAGCACTCCCGAGTGTTTGTTAACCTCGCCAAGTTTGCCAGTTGATGCTAGAGTATCAGAAAAGATACGGGGGAAGATTTGGAACAGTGAATATTTCGATTTTAGCTCATTACTAACCCAGTAGCGGAAGACCGTTATCAGTTCACGGTTAAGGGTGTAGAGGGCAACTCGGCAGCACCAGCCATATGCCTTGAGCCGTGGCCAAATCCAAAAAAGGCTTAACACTAGATACATGGTTTAACTGCTTTCATATTTCCGTGGGCACCTATTGCCAAAAGTACCCCACTGAGGCCCCATTCTTAACATTTGATGTTTGCTTTACATAATCCAGACGTGGTGGATCTTAAAATAGAGAAGTTTTAGCCAGCCATCTGTCGGGCCCGTTTGAGATGCCTTCTTTATCTCCATTCAGGGTGTCACCACCAGGTTTCATCCCAAAGAAGACACCGAGTGAGTTTAGACTCATACACCACTTGCCTTATCCTAAGGGTTCCTCAAGCAATGATGGTATTTCTCCCGAATTTCTAGTGTCCGCTATTCAACTATCGCAGGTGCCATTAGGCATATCAGAGCAGTTGGCACAGGGTGCTTTTTGAGTAAAACAGACATCAAAAATGCCTTCAGAATTATTCCGGTTCATTCTACTGATTATAATTTGCTGGGTATGAAATGGTGTGATCAATAAATGCATGCCCATGGGCTGTTCCAGTACGTGTCACACTTTTGAGTTATTCAGCTCTGCTTTGGAATGTATCGCCCAGATCAAGTTGCACATCAATCATATTATTCACCTTATTGATGATTTATTGATAATTGCTGCTTCTCATGACATATGCCAGCGACAGCTTAATCTATTTGTAGATCTGTGTGGTCACCTTGGCATTCCCATAGCACCAGAAAAAACTTGTGGTCCAGCCACTACTTTGTCATTTGCAGGAATCCCATTAGACACCATTCAGTTAGAAGCTCGCTTGCCTGCGGAAAACATTTTGAAGTACAAAGACCTAATTTCTGACTTCCTTAAGAGAAAAAAGGTGACATTAAAGGAAGTCCAATCATTAACCGGTCATCTCAATTTTGCATGTTGTGTTATTCTGCCAGGCACAGCCTTTTTGCGCAGACTTACTGATCTTACCATTGGCATCCAGTCACCGTTTCATTTTATTCAACTCAAAAAGGAGGTGAAGGCTGATTTAAGAAATTGGCAATAATATTTAGATGAATATAATGGCAAATCTTATTTCTTGGAAGATTTTTGGCAATAGTTTACATAATACCATGAGAATACTCACCAACCTCAGGAGCTTTGCAGTTGCCATCTTGGAAATTTTTATTCCATAATGCATAGCGATTGTAGTGCGTACACCACCTTGGGCAGCCCCAAAACACTGCTTTCATTGCAGATGGGTCAACCACTGTTAGAGAGTGCCCTGTGCTAGGTCAAGCTGCCAACAAATAACTTGTTAACTACATAGTTCGTTTCTCTGCCTTACTTTTCGGTCTGATTTCTTTCTCAGGAGTCAACTACTGCTGCCTTCAAAGGGGTTGTCTAATACCTTTGATTACTCTGTCCCTGGATGCGGTATATTGGAGCTGCTTACAGTTGGCTTTTTTCCTTTTCCATGGCATAAAATTGTGCCTTTCACAGGTGAAAAAGGGGACTATATTGGCCACTTCAGTGATTAAATCCTTAACATAAGTCACCAAATTGGCGACCAAAACACTTCAAGACAACTTTCCTAAGGAACTTAAGAATTGCCAAAAACACATAAGGTTAATCTGTGGCTGCGACCACAGGGCATTAAAACTTTGTTCAGTTTGCTTTCAAAGAAACAGCATAGCCCTTTCAAAAGTCATAAAACAACATCTAGTAGCTCTGATGACAGCCAACAAGAATGCCAAGATATCGGGTCTCTGGACCCAGATCTTAAGTACACGCTTTTAGATAACTACACAAGTCTTAACGAAAATGTCACCAGTTATCAAGTGAAGCAAGCAAGAAAACTTGCCAAACCGCATGGTCCAGGAAACATACCAAAAAGGAATCTACATATCCAGTGCGAATTGATATGGTTAAGGTTGATCAGTTTACCAATGAGACCATATTTTTACCAAGATGTGGCCTATGGCAGTCGAAAGTTGTTACTGGACACTGGAGAGAAAATCTCCAGATCTACCTTGGTTCAGCATTACCAGTTCCACTCCTTTGAATCGCTCTACTCTTATTAAAATCTTAGAAGTAAGAGAGGCATCTCAACGTCTGTGAGGAAAATATGCAAATCCATAATTCTGAGTTTTGTCATTGCTTTCTGAGGCGATAGCTATTAGCACTTATGATACCGCACAACCTTCAAGACAATTCGCTTTCTTTCTTCATTAGCTGTCAGAGGTTACAAACAGGTAATCAAAATTTATCTAAGAAAATCAGTAATAAATACATAAATAAATGAATAATTAAGTCATACAATAAAATACGAAATCCATTACTCCCTTTTGAGGTAGATCGCTCTGTAAAAGTTGTCTGAGCAGAACCAAGACTGATACAGGGGGAAATTCAGGGTGAAGTTGAGTTCCAAGAAAAAGTCAATGGAATGGCCTTCCTTGCTCCTTTAATTCCTTTTTTTACCTTAGGTCACTGCAGGGGCTGTAACAATAGACAATAGGTTCAGTGAAACCCGATCTCATCATGTGATCGCGCTGCTTAGGCATTCCTCAACAGCCAGATCAATGTAACCTTAGTCTAAGAGAACTCCCGATTAAACTAGTCTATTTACATCACTACAAAGTCGTGCTCTTACTTGTTACATGGTGTCAGAATGCCCGATCCGCCCACAGAAACGTCTGGAGGTCAACGAGCTGAACGAATAACATAGTTAAAGCCCCCTGGAGGATTGGATTTCGACTTGACTGATCTCTCGCACACATGGAAGAGATGGAGAAATCCAGCTTTACATGGGCCTAGTGATGGAAGGACGGGACGAGAAAGTAAAGGTAAAAATGTTCCTTTATGTTATTGGGAGCAAGGGTCGAGAAATATATGAAACCCTGCACTTTGAGAAGGCCAGAGATGAACGAACATTGCAAGATGTTATGAACGCTTTTGAGGAACATTGGAATCTGAAAAAGAATGAAACTGTAGAGAGATATAAATTCTTTACTTGAATTCAGGAAGAAGGCGAATCGATAGAGAAATTTGTGACGGATTTAAAGTTATTGGCTGCAACATGCAATTTTGGAATGCTTCACGATTCACTAATTCGCATCAGAATTATTTGTGGAATTCGTAATTCGACGCTATGTGAAGAGCTGCTTAAAGTGGTTGACCTTGATCTTGACAAATGTTTACATGTGTGTCGTGTGAGCGAACTCTCAAAAGAGCGAAATAAAGTTATTGAAGCTACTGAATCGATAAATGCCGTTCAAATCCGAAGCATGAAAGTAAGCCAAAGAAAAAGCGCAAGATAAAAAGCACTTATTGTGGAACAAAACACGAAAGGAGAAAATGTCTGGCATATGGCAAAGAATGCACCATCTGTCACAAGCTCAATCATGGCACCTCTGTTTGCAAAATCAAACAAACGGGTTCAACTTCGCACCTTAAATATGTTGATGACAATGATGAAGATCTTTCAGACTATGATGACATTTTGACAGTTGATTTGGAGCCCGCTTTGGAAGTAAACTCAATTGTGGCAAATAAATTTCCGAAACGCCTGTACGCAACAATTGATGTCGGAAAGAAACCAGTTTGTTTTCAACTTGATAGTGGTGCATCATGCAATGTAAACTCAGAAGAAACACTCAAGAACTGTTTGGGTCCGGTGAAACTTGAGCAAACTAAACGAGTACTATCAATGTATATTCAGACAACGCTAAAACCATTAGGTCGATGTACGTTGGAGCTGCATAACTGCAAGACTGACAAGTCATATTGCACAGAATTTGAGGTTCTTAAAGAGCAGAGCACACTTGCTTGGAAGTGAAACAATCCAGCAAACGGATCTGATACAAGTGCGGTTAGAAAATATCCTTTCACTAATGGCTAGTCCCCATAAAGAGCCTTTGACAAAAGAGAAGCTTGCCGATCAGTTTCCAGATGTATTTCAAGGCACTGGAAAGCTAAGCGAGCCATATCACCTCCAAATAGATCTTAGTGCTAAACCAGTGGTCCACCCACCAAGAAAAGTGCCACTAGCTCTTAAAACAGCACTCAAGGAAGAACTAGACCGACTAGAGTCTCTTCAAATTCTAACCCCTGTATCAGAACCAACGCCCTGGGTGTCACGTATGGTCATCGTTAAGAAGCCAAATGGTAATATTATAGTCTGCCTGGATCCAAAGGATCTAAACAAAGTCTTGAAGCGCAGTCATTACCCCATGCCTACAATCGATGACATCTTACCAGAACTTAGCCGAGCCAAAGTGTTAAGTGTGTTTGATGTAAAAATGGGTTTTGGCACGTTGAGTTAGATAAGGAAAGTTCAAAGCTCACATGCTTCAACACCCCCTTTGGACGCTATCGGTGGTTGAGAATGCCCTTTGGTCTCACTCCAGCACCTGAAGAATTCCAAAGGAGACAGCATCAAGTGCTAGAAGGACTCCCAGGTGTCTTGACTATACACGATGACATCCTATTGTATGGAGAAGGTGATACTTATGAAGAAGCAAGCAGAGATCATGATGCAAAGCTCCACAAGCTAATGATGCGTTGTAGAGAGCAAAACGTAAAGCTCAACAAAGACAAGATGAAGCTCCGCCTGGATCAGGTCCCCTACATTGGACAACTGCTGAAAAGCCAAGGACTGAAGCCAGACCCTGAAAAAGTGAAAGCTATTATTGAAATGCCCAAGCCCAAAGACGTAGCCGGAGTGAGGAGATTCATTGGCTTCGTGAATTATCTGAGTAAATTCATGCCAAGACTGAGTGAAGTCTGTGAACTTCTTCGACGCCTCACTATGAAAGATGTTGAGTGGCACTGGACAGAACATCAAGAACAAGCTTTCAACAAATTAAGCAGCTGGTAAAAGAAGCACCAGTCCTAGAGTACTTTGAGCCTAAGCAAGAGCTTACACTTCAGAGAGATGCGTCCGATACAGGTTTAGGAGCAGTCCTAACTCAGAATGGACAGCCCATAGCATTTGCCAGCAGAGCCTTGTCCGATGCCAAGACAAGGTATGCGCAAATTGAGAGTTATTGGCAGTGGTTTTCGGGCTCGAGAAGTTTCACCAGTACACATATGGCCGCCCAGTCACTGTCCAATCAGATCACAAGCCCCTAGAGGTTATTGTAAAGAAGCCAGTGTACAACACCCCTAAGCGTCTCCAACGCCTACTATTGAGATTGTTGGTGTACGATGTTAACCTGCTGTAACGGAGAGGCAGCCAGATGGAGTTGGCAGACACTTTGAGCCGGGCCTATCTACCAGAAGTAAACCTGACATCAGTTCAGAAAGAATTTGAGGCTGTAAATATGGCACAAGATCTCCCAGTATCAGCAGCCCAAGTGGATGACATTCGCAAACACATGGAAGAAGATCATGAACTGCAAGAACTTATCAAAGCTATCTTGACCGGATGGCCTGAAGATAAATCTCAAGTCCCTAATTCAGCAGTCCCATATTACCACGTGCGCAATGAACTGGCCGTTCAGAATGGTGTGATTTTTCGAGGCGACATGCTAAAGCGCATTCATGCCTCAGACCTTTGTATTGACGGTTGTCAGCGGCGAGCCAGAGAGTGTCTGTACTGGCCAAGAATGAGCAGTGAGGTCAAAGATTATGTACAGCAGTGTGACGTGTGTCCACAGATTCAATGCAGCAGAAAGAACCACTACAGCCCCACAATGTACCATCACGACCATGGGCCAAGGTAGCTCTCAATGGTCAGCAATACCTGCTCATTGTTGACTACTTCTCGGGGTTCTGGGAGGTAGAACCCTTACAATCAACCTTGTCGAGCGATGTTATCAAGAAAATAAAGATGCACTTTGCTCGGAACGGCATCCCCGACATGGTTGTCTCAGATAATGGCCCACAATTTGCTGCCCAGGAGTTTCAGTGTTTCAGAAAAACCTGGCAGTTTCAGCTAAACTCAACATCTCAATACCCTAAGAGCAATGGTAAAGCAGAGAATGCAGTTACAGCAGCCAAGCATTTGTTGAAAAAGGCAAAGAAGGACAAGGCAGATAGATGTCTATCTTGTGTTACTTGCCTACAGAAACACCCCACCACAAGGCTTGGATACCAGTCCTGCTAAAGGGCTTATGAGCCGTCGAACGAAGACCTTGTTACAAACAACTGCCAACCTGTTACGTCCACAGATAACTGAAGATCTGCATCAGAAGCTCCTGTATAACAAAGAACGTCAGGCAAAGTACTACAACCGAGGAGCTCGGACACTCGCAAGGCTTAATCCCGGTGATACAGTCAGAATGTATCATGGATCCAACAAGACCAAAGATCAGGAATTACTCAAGGCCTCAGTCAGGTCCCAAGTCAGCACGTGGTCTTATGAAGTCGTTACCAAACATGGAAAAACGTTTCGCAGAAATCGGGTTCATCTAAGAAAGTCTACAGAGCAGTTTTGCCCCCAGCAGTCCTCTTCTCTAGCAAATGGAGCATTCTCTGTTCCAATGCAACAGAAAAGCGGCAACAAAGCTATTACACCAGCTGAGCCTACAGCCTGTAGTTCTCCTGCCCAAACATCTAGAGATGATCCTCTGCCTTTCGATCCAATCAGCAACAGCTCTGCCCAATCACTGTGTATAACGACCAGATCGGGCAGACCAGTCAAATGCCCTAGCCACCTCAAGGACTTTGTTTGAAGGCAAATGATCAAGAAAACCGGACAGTCATAGATTTGATTACTTGATTTTTTTTTTCATTAGTATTTTGCTCGGTAACAAGAAACTTTTGATTTTTTTTTACAAGATCAATTCATTATAGAATAGGCTTTGTCAACTAGACAGACCGATTTAGGTATAGTTTTTTTTAGAAAAGAGAAAGGATGTAACAATAGACAATAGGTTCGTTGAAACCCGATCTCATCATGTGATTGCGCTGCTTAGGCATTCCTCAACAGCCAGTTACAGAGGCCAGATAATACTGCCATCAGTGGTGCAATGGTCTTAAAGAGAAAGGGAGTGACAGGGAGTGGTGCATTGCTGCAAAACAGAGGCTAAAGGATGGAAAACGGTATCTTAACACAGACTACAGAGTACACTGCAGTGAGGAGAATTCTCCTCACAAAGGCCACTGCCGAAAGTTTTTTTATGTGACCCAGTGGAGGGTGATGTTAGAGGATTGTGATCATAAGCATAGCTTGATGTGTGACTTGTTTGATGTGACTGAAGGCCTAAACAACATAATGAACCATGTGAAGATAGAGATTCTTGAATCCTCATCAACTACATGCAACAGAGAATATCAAGAAGATCCGTTGTATGACCTTGAAGTCAAGTTAAAACTTACATTCTTCAGTGGAAAGTTCATGTTTTGCATCGGTAAACCAGGTGAAGGCAAAGCATGATGCCATCAATGACCTTAGCCATAACTCACCCTTGATAGTGACGGACTGGGCTATGAACCAGAACCTGGATGCGTGAAAGTAATAAAGACGTTAAGTGAGCTTGAAATGCACCTTGAAATTGGAAATCACGAAAATAATCCCATGACAGAAAGTATTTATGACCAGTTGAGGAGAGATTGGGCTCAGCGTTTTGCAACAGTCAATCCAGTAGAAGCAAATACCTTTAAAGTCATCAGCAACAGATGCCCAACTGAAGTGACGGAAGGGACACCTTCAAATCTGAGCCAAGGAAGGACTACTTCAAAACCACACGTGGCAACATGTTTCACTGCTGAGGTTAACACATAATTGAAAGCAAAGTTTTAACTTGGTGAAAAGACTGCCTTAAAAACACATCCCAGTCACGTATCAGCAGATATTACAAATGCCAGAGATGAAGATAATAACCATCGCTTCTCTAGAGAGGAGTGGCTTTCAAAAGTCCCGATTAAGAGTTGTTTCACTCATTTAGCATCTGCAAGGAGGAAAGGACAAGAGACAGAAGACATGGATGAAGAGACAAATATAGAAGACTTAAGCCTGGTTTTCATAAGTCAGTAAAATCCCAAACGATGGGGGACTTTAGTGTTTCCTGGCTGTCCCAGATTTTGCTGACCAATGAAAACGCTAAATCGTAGATATCCCTGATTGTCTGGGATGGAAGGGACAAATCTAAAGAATCCCCTAAATTGATGGCTCCAGTCCCCCTTTCACAAATAAACATGGCGTCTCACAAAAACACAAGTGAAAGCTATCCCGAGTCTCTTGCCCAAGAGGCAAAGAAGAGTGATATGGCATTTATGGATATTATAACAGAATTTCCAGTTATTTACAACAGTGCCTGTGCAGATTTAAAGATCAGAACATAAAGAACAACGGCTGGCGAAAGATTTCAGAGTTACTTGATTTAGAAGAATCCAAGTGTAAGCAAAGATAGGTGCAACTCGGAAAACAGCGTGTGGAACTGACCATATTTCTCTCCTTTTTTCAAATATTCTCTGATCCAAAACCTCTTCGCTCTTCGTTTAGTTGGTTTCTGTTTTTCAAGAATGGAAAACTACATTGACGAGTTCAAGAACACAGATGTATTTAGAACGACACAGCATAAGCTTGTGTGCATCCATGTTGCTGTAATGCTGTTACATTTGTGTTCAAGTTTCAATTCTTGGCGTACTTTCCAAATCCCACCAAATTCATAATTGGGAGAATCTTGGGACAGACTTCTGGCGCTTATCTGATATATCGGCAAAATCTGGGATGGTCGGCAGAAAGTAAAATCCCCGATCTTTTGGGATTTTCCTGATATGCTTTGAAAACGGTGAAGAGAAAACATAAGCTTATTTTTATGAACGAGGTTGATATTTTTAAATAAAGATTGCTTGTCTTACAGTGCGGACACTCTAACCATGAACACCAAAAATTTTTTCCTGCTTTTTACGTATCATCCAATCACAGTCCTGGTTCATAATGTGACTGTCGCATTAATTAACTTTATGATCTTATCCCGTCAAGTCATTTCGCTCGCCATGGCAGATAAGATGCTTACGGAGGTGTTTTTGTGGTTGAAGTCACTTTCCCCAAGCATAAAATTAGAATGGCTTTTGCCTGAGTTTGAAACAAGGGGATTCCGCTCAAGAAGATCGCTAGCTTACGTGCAAACAGAGGATTTGGACACGTTCTTTCCATCTCCTACTAAGCTATTACTGGCAGAAAGACATATATTGGAGGCTGAACTTAATAAGATCAAAGTGGAAAATAATGGACAATCCACACAACGTGAGCCAAAACGACTGAATGTTCTACTAAGTGCGAGCAATGCTGAAGAACTTATGAGAGCAACGTCCCAGCCGTACTTACATGAGGCAGCCACCAGCAGCACTGGTCCGATCAATCCAATCCTACAAACCTTTCATAGCCCTTTGGATCGAAGAGCTATAGAACTGTCAGAAAACCTTAAACTACTAAAGGTACAAGTACAAAGTGCTAAAAGTCCTTTGCAAGGGAAACAGAAAGTGCTTGATGATTAACCAAAGGCTCGCGAGCGGCGCGGCAAGGTATGTGCAATATGTCATACATCTGGGCACAACAGAGCAAACTGCAATGAAGTCCCTTGCCATGATGTGAACTTTTCTAAGCTGAAGGAAAAGCACCCTGAATTGTTGGGTGTTGAATCTGCCAAGTGACGCCACTCCAACCACAAGTGTGAAATAACCTGGTGATGGCTGCTGGAAATCACTGGAAGGGATGCCTTTCTTCACAAGAACACAAATGAACATAAAGGTAGCAAATTCGGGGAAACAAGTAGTAAATGTGGAGCACCACACCATGTGACAAACTTGAGAAAAGCAAAAACGTTTCTCACTGACCAATATTTAAAGGAAATTGAAGCAAATGGTGATCAACAGTACTTCAAAGTGCTACCACAGGTTTAGGAAGAGGAAACTCCCATTGTTCTTCGTTTTGCTTTTTGCATTGTTTTAGGCCAAGTCGTCCATGCCAACTGGTTAAACAATGCTGCCTAAGTGGGGTACTGTATCAATGAGCTTGCATCGATGTTCAAAACTTGCAAGTTCAGTTTATTTGACAGTAGAAGCACGGGTGATTTATGCAAAGATGATGATGAACAGCCAAATGTTGCCCTTTTTATGACAAAAATGGCATAAAAAAGGTTGTGGTGACAAAATCACTGCTCAAAAGATTATGGAAGTTGCGGTTTCAAAAAACTAAACTCAATGAAACCAAAAGCAGACAAGGAGTTAAATGTCTACGGTACTATGCAAGAAGTACCCCAAGACTGAAACTAGAATGAAATTTAAAAATGCGTTACAACAGTCAAATGCGCAAATGGATTTATCAATTATGGCAGGTGATAATTCGTCTATTAAGGTGGCAAATACACGAAAAAATGGCCATTTTTCGACTGAAAAGTAATTTCACAAATATTGCCCCCTTGTGCACCTGTATGCCTGAATGCCTGTAGAAGTAAGTTTTGTAATATTTTTGGGCATAACTCATTTTTTTAGCTTATTTTGGATAGGTCAAAGTAAATCTGCTCGTTACTATACCAACCCCTTTGTTTATATTCAAAACGCGATCAAAAACTGTCAAAAATTATGTTGCAACGAGAATGGGCAGCTCACTACAGGAGTTGAAAAAGAAAGAAGCACCTCTTTCAGATGGAAAAGGGTGGGGAGGCACTGAGCGGTTGACTGAGAACATGACAAACAATATGCAGTAGTGCTATTGGCTGTGGTCACACTTGGGCTTTTTTTACTACAGTAAAGTCGAGTTTACTACTGTAAACACGTTTTCTAATGTGACCGGCTTTTCCCATTTTACTATGGTAAACACAGATCTAGTCTGTTGCGGTGGCAACAGCGGTAGGATGAATTGTTCATTTATCTTTGCCTGAATGCAGCGAAGCGTAATGAAACAAAAGATAAATGGTTTCTTGAATTCCCAAGCACAGGTGCATTTGTCGGCAGTGTGTTTTAAGTGCCGGCATGAGATTATGGGAAGAAAGTGTGATATGCAAACTAGCAAGTATATATTCGCTGAACAGTAAACAAGTTTCATTGTGGATTTTTACAAGCGGACAGTTAAATTCTTAGCTCGTTCTTCCTATCTCGTCCACATGGCGCGGGGCCGTCGTGGTCGCCCGGCTTCAGTTCGTTCTCGTGTTTCGAGAGTCAACGCGGACATTGAAGACCCTGTTGTCCGGCCGTCCAGAACAAGAGAACATCGAAGTTCAGGCCGCCGTAGTTCTCGTTCACATGTTGCAGCTTCAAGCGGTTCTGGCCGTAGTTCTTCGCCTTCGCGAAGGAGTGTCCGCGAGCGTTCGCACCGTAGAAGTCGTTCCGCTTCTCGCAGCCCTGAGCCCCCAACTTGGGCGAAGGAAATCTTAAAGGCTCTGGAGGCGAAAACGGAGGAGGTCAAGGTTGTCAAGGAACAGCTTTACTCACTAAAACGCAAGTCTACAGAAGAGGAGCCCGAGTTCAAATATAAGAGTAACAAGAAACAGTTCAAGTTCAACACTGACGTCAAGGATAAGTTCAACCAGATTTTAGAGAGGGCTGAGGCGGATGACGCGATCACCAAGATTGCCAACGAAGGTATGTCACTCCTTGATAACAGAAATAAGCTTATTTCTATTGCTGACCGGGATGGCTGGGACGTGGTAGAATATTTTGAGGCGGACCCACTCACTAAAAATGACGAAGAAGAAAAGAAACTTCGTGTCGCTGCAAGAAGGAAGCAGAGAGGTCTCGGGAGAAGCGAAATCGAAAAAATAGCCTGAGAAGCAAAATGGGAACTCGTTTTAAGTCTCAGTCTACATCGTCCAAAAGCCGCCCCAGTGTAAATTTTGGCCCGTCACATTGAATCGTGGATTTTCGCCCGGATGTCGGTCAGCTTTTGGTTAATCCTGTACCGGAGAAAAAAGCTTCTGTTTATCGCTGCTTTGGTTGCGGCAAAGCAGGCCATTTCATCAAGGATTGTAAAGTTTCCTCTTCCGCTAAATGACTAGCTGACTCTGATTTTGACGAGTTTTCGGAGCGCGGCGAGGCTGAACTTGACACGGGCGTTTCCTCAGTATTTTGGATTAGAGGCCGCTTGCGCAAGTTTTTGCATGTTTGGCGTTCTACTGGGGCCTCTTCTTTTGTTCTTAGTGTTATTGAAAGCGGTTATAAGTTACCATTTGTTTCAATTCCAGTGAAGTATTTCTTTAGTAATCATAAAAGCGCTGTTGATAATAGAGCTTTTGTTTGTGAGGCTATCGAGCAATTGTTGTTGGCGGGTAGCGCGGTGGAAGTCAAGCGTGACCAAGTTCATGTTTGCAGTCCCTTAGGTGTAGTTCCTAAAAAGAATGGCAAACTTCGATTGATTCTTGACCTTCGCTTTCTTAACAAGCACCTAGCCAAGCGTAAGTTTAAGTTCGAAGACCTCCGAGTCGTGGCGGAAATTCTTCAGCCAGATGATTGGTTTTTTACTTTCGATCTTCGTAATGGCTACCATCATGTTGACATTTTTCAAGAGCATTGGAAGTATTTGGCTTTTTCGTTTACTTTCGATGGAAAGCCGCGCCATCTTTTGTTTTGTTCGCTTCCTTTTGGTTTAAGTACGTCTCCTTACGTTTTCACCAAATTGATAACACCAGTTGTTGCACACTGGCGGTCGCAAGGCATTAGGATTTCTGTCTATTTGGACGACGGTATCGGCGCTGATTCAAGTAAAGATTCGTGTTCTCAGGACGCGCAACTAGTGCGAGGCGATCTTGATCGCCTTGGCCTGCTAGTGAATGAGGAAAAGAGCAATTTTTTACGCGCGCCAAAAAGGGGAGCACTTAGGCTTTATTTTGGACCTTACCAAAGGAGAATTTAGTATCCCACCAGGCAAGATTGATCACCTGTTTAATCTGATTTGACTGCTTCTTGACGATGTTTCACCCACGGCTAGGGATGTGTCTCGTATAACGGGGAACCTTATTTCCATGGAGCTCGCATTAGGTCCAGTTGTGCGTTTGCGCACCCGAGCCTTGTACGCAGTCCTTAATAGCGTTCATAGCCTTAGCTGCAAGGTGGCTTTAACACGTGAAGCTGTAGAGGAACTTAATTTTTGGAGAGATAATTTCTTTCGTTTGTGCGGCAAACCAATCTGGAGGCCCTCCCCGAAGATAGAGCTTTTGTCTTATTCTAATGCCAGCAATGTGGGTTGGGCGGGATTTATTGTTCAATTTGGTACGCACATCGCTAGAGGGAACTGGTTGGGTTCCGAGGCCCTATGCAGCTCTTCTTTCCGCGAGATTCGTGCAATTAGATTTGTTCTTCAGTCGTTTTCCGGTCTTTTGGCGGGCAAGGAGTGCAAGCACAGATCTGACAATCAGAGCGTCTGCAGTATTTTGTCTGTCGGCAGTAGTAAGCCTCATTTGCAAAAAGAAGCGGTTGCCATTTACAATTTGTGCTATGAAGCAGGTATTTGCTTTTTTGCGGAGTGGATACCTCGCCACTTTAATTTCAAAGCTGATTATTGGTCGAAAGTTGTCGACACCGATGATTGGATGCTCAACCCTGTCCATTTTCGCCAGTTGGATATTCTGTGGGGACCCCACACCGTAGATCGTTTTGCCAGTCATAATTCTTTCCAGTTGCCCAGGTTTTGTTCTCGATGGTGGTGTCCTGGGACCGAAACTGTTGATGCTTTTACCGTCAGCTGGGCAGGGGAAAACAATTGGTTGGTCCCCCCCGTCTTCCTTATTCCCAGGGTTATCAATCACATGAAACTGGGTAAAGAACAGGGCACTCTTATTATCCCCTTTTGGCAATCTGTTCATTGGTGGTCGTTGGTGACTCGAAGCCCCGGGGTTTTCCACCCTTTTGTTCTTGACTGGCGGGAGATTCCTTTACAGGAGTCTACTTTTCTCCCTGGTTCCGCAGCCGGGGATTTTTTCGGGTATGGTATTCCCTCGTGTAGGGTATTTGCTTTGAGAATTGTATTTCCTTAGTTTTGCTGTAGAAAGTTTTTTCGGGTATTAGATGAGTACCTTGAACGAGTTGTTCAGCCTAATTATTTGTTTTTGTTTTGTCTGAGCCTTTTTGGCCTAGGTGTGGGCCTTTGCTCTGTGCAAGTCAGTGGACTTGGAACTGTACTAGTGCGCACGAGTTGTGCAGCTGAAGCAAGCCGATAGGGCAGTGCCGACAAAGTAGTGTATTCATTTTAGAGTCAAGTGGACTCCTCTATCCTTTGTGTGGATTTGCTTACCAGTTGACGCCGAGTGGGCCAAGCCTCCATGTGTTGGAGTGTGTACTGGTGCTGTGTTAACTTGCCATGTGGGCAGTTTTCGTTGCAGACGATGTTTATCTTGCGCGTTTAGTGTTGTGTAGCAATTGGATGTTGTTCCTGTCTTTAAAGTGCCATGTTTTGGACATTGTTGATTTTCACTTTAGGCTTGTCGCCTTACCAACAGAGCAACGCGGAGATTCAGAGGCTTGTAGAACTGTTAAAGACTGTCATACTTAATGACTGTGCTGCTTCAACCGTGTCTTCGTATGCAGGGGCAGCCAATCGATGGATTGACTGGTGCAAGTCTTACTCGTTTCCTCCTTTACAGTCTAACCCAACCGCAGTTACTCTCTACTTAACAAGTCTTTCAGACCGTGGCTTATCTCGCTCGTCAATCCTTGGAGCAACTAATGGCAATGCGTGGCTAAATAAGAAACTTGGATGTCCTAATCCTGTCGACGATCCGCTCGTTTCTCAGACCTTGGCTGGTTTTAAACGCCTCCTGGCTGGCCCATCTAAGAAAAAGCAGCCTATTGAATCTCATCACGTCAGGGCGCTGATTCGTTCCTATGGTCACCCTCGTGCCTCTCTACCGAACTTAAAAATGGTGTCGCTGGTTGCGCTTGGTTTTTGTGCCTTCCTACGTTGGTCAGAGCTGCGTGACTTACGTGCCTGTGACTTAAAGTTTTGCGACACCCTCATGTCTGTTTTCCTAGACAGACTTAAGAACGATCAATTCCGTCAGGGATCTGTGGTTAAAGTTGCTCGTTTACGTTCTAGCTCTTGTCCAGTGAAACTGTTAGAGTTATTCCTTGAGCGCGGAGATCATCAACCATCTCAGTCATTATTTTGTGTCTGCCAGAAATTGGGTACCGGCGTACAAGCTGCGACAAGCTCCTCTGTCATATTCTCGGGCACGGGAACAGTTTCGCCAAATGATTTCCGAACTTGGTTTAGACTCAAACGAATTTGATTTACATAGCCTTCGTTCAGGTGGTGCTTCCCAAGCAGCACGCAGCGGAGTTTCTGGGAGAGTATGGCGTAGACATGGTGGTTGGCGCAGTATCCAAGCTGCAGATGGTTATGTCAATGAATCTTTGGAAAATACCGTTGTGGTATCTAGAAATTTGGCTCTTTAATTTTCAGTATGTGATTTGCTTGATAAACATTGCGTGAGTTGTGTTGTTTGTTGCAGTATGGAGAGATTTACATTTGCCCAATTAATTCTGATGGCTTAACGTTGCTTGATGAAACAGAATCCTTGCCGCAGGTGGATATGCTTAACAATTTTTAGACAGTACCCTTATGGTATCCAAGCGATTAGCTATCTATTATACAGTAAATATGTTGCTTAATGAACATTGCCTTATATTGTATCCTTATATGCTTTTGCCACTGATTGTGAATTGTCTGCTTATCCCGCACCGCATTTCTGGTTGTCAGTTTTTTGGGTGCGGGGAATTCAAGAATTGTTCATTTATCTTTGCCTGAATGCAGCGAAGCGTAATGAAACAAAAGATAAATGGTTTCTTGAATTCCCAAGCACAGGTGCATTTGTCGGCAGTGTGTTTTAAATGCCGGCATGAGATTATGGGAAGAAAGTGTGATATGTAAACTAGCAAGTATATATTCGCTGAACAGTAAACAAGTTTCATTGTGGATTTTTACAAGCGGACAGTTAAATTTTGTTCTTTTTTATATTTTGGTTGAAATCCTGTAATCCATTTCCTCGTAACGATTCTAGTTGTGCTTTCCTGATGATTGACAGTTATTATAAGTGGTTTTGTTTATTCAATTTACTTTGGCCGGATCGAATGTATACAGTTTGTTTAATTTTTTGGTGTCTAAACAGTTGTTTTTGTTTTGTGATTAGTTGGTTAGTTCAATAAATGGGCTAAGAATTGTCTGCTTATCCCGCACCACATTTCTGGTTGTCAGTTTTTTGGGTGCGGGGAATTCAAGAAAGTAAAGTTTACTATAGTAAAGTTTCCTAAAACGATATGGTTTATCGATGATATATCTAAACTTTGTTTATTCAGTTGACATCTAGTCGCATTATTTGAGATGCGTTCCCTGAGTGTCACGTTGCTGAATACTTATACATGTATTTTTAACGCCGCCAGCCTATTCTTTTCCTTTTTCGTGCCAAACAGTACAGTAGAGATGTCACAGTGACTCAGACAATTTTCGCTTTCATTTGAGGTAATTCCACACTAAATTCTGGACTTCAAGGAATCATACGCCTACATCTAATGTTCGTGTTTCATTTCTGAGTCAAGCATAAATTTAGAAGTACATCATTCAATTCAGCTGTTTTCAATCCGTGTAGCCATATTTTTTCTATCTATTGTCTGAACATTGATTTTGGTTGGCACGCTTTTTTTAAGAAACCTGCATGTTCTTTTCACTCTAGAGTTCCACCATTCCGCAATAGTTTCATAATCCCACCGGGAAGTTTTTCAGACAATCACGGCCACGAAGTAATTCAGAATGGACCGCTTATATTTGGCCGAGAAAATAATGGGATAGAAGCAGTATCAGCAGCGGCACAATTTTCAGTGAATGCATGATGTACAGACAGTCATGTAACTGGATGAAAAATAAAACATTCATGGAATGTCGTAAGAATTATCACCTGTCCTCAGGCTCATCATTTGAGTGACAAATTTCTGTTGGGAAACCATCTGGAACGTGTTAAGTCAAGTAATGAGTTTTACTATAATAAAGTTTTTTTAACATCCTTTTTACCACGGTTAAAGCCTTTACCAACATCAAATCCCAAGTGTGACCACAGCCATTACAGAGCTATTAAGAATAATTTGGGCAATGAAAAAGAAGACGGGCAAAATGTATGCTCACATACTTGGTGCCGGTACCTGAAAGATAGGAAAAATTACAACACAGGGCAATGAGGGACTGGAAATTGTTAAGCTTGTAGTGTACTTTGCTATCTCAGGCCTTGACATTGGGGAAATCTCAGTACCCATATAATCTTTTTATCGGTGATAAGTCCATCGAAATGGAACCCACTCTCAAGATTCTTGGCGTTACATTGGATCGGGATTTGTCTCTCAAGCCCCACGTGGCAATCATGCTGAAGAAAGCGTATGCTCAGATAGCCGCACTATGGAGGATTAAGCGCTTAGTTCCTTTGGACGTTATGATTTTCCTTTATAAAGCCTTCGTGTTACCGCATTTAGAATACTGTTGCCCACTACTTCTGGGCATACCTAAAGTCTTGAAAAATAACATCGAACGTACCAATCATTATGCGATCAACACATTACTGAATTTAGGTAATTCGGCTACCTATGACTTTCGCCTAGCAATGGCTGATATGGACAAGCTTGAGCAAAGACGTACCCTGCAATCGCTTATCTTATTTTTTAAATGTTTTAAACTAGATGGCCCTAATTACATTTCCAAATTTTTTACCCCTCGGCTAACTAAATACAATCTACGAGACAGTGGATCAAATGTTGTGCAGCCTCCGTATAACAGCCTTGTCATGCACAACTCTTTTTTATACATGATTGCTCACATATGGAATCAATTACCAACTGCAATCAAATCCTTGACCACTTTAGCATAATTCCGTGCCACCTTAATAATGTCAATTTCACAGGGTGCCAGTGTATGAACTGTATATAACTTTATCCATTTTTACATTTATACATACTCTTGGGCTAGTTTATATACATGTATAATTATACTGATATAATTATATTTTTTAATATTCTAACCAGTTTATAATGATTAGTCCGTTTTAAACTATTTTTAATGCATGTTCTTAGGTTTTTTTTTTTTTTTTTTCAGAAAATAGTTTCTTAAAAAATTTTCCCAAAATTACGATGTTTTTAGGTTTTTCTTAATATTTGTATATACATAATCCTCTTTTTATCCTGTTTTGTATTTTTGAGTTTGTCGAGCATTTTTAACATGAGCCTCTGGCTCGGAAGATTGCGTAAACACTTCCCACGTCTTCGACACTAAATATTTCAAAATAAAAATAAATAAAATAAAAAATAAATCTCCCTTTTCAAAGGAGATAACCCATATCACCACCTTGCATACATATACCGTTGAGGAAGGAAATTGAAGCTAATGTCACAGGAGCAAGACATAAGTCAGTGAGTGCTCAAGGTGAAATGGGAGTGGTTTGAATACATACCTATTTCAAATGAAGGAGAAGAGAGGCGTCAAAAGCAGGGGAGATCAAAACTCTCTTTGAATCGTTCCCAGTACCAGTTTCGAGCAAAATGGCAACAAGAAAAAATGAAGACAAATGTGGATAGCCTACCACCTGGTCACATGTGTTCAGGATTATTCCGAAAAAATAGACCTTTTTACCGATACAGCGGCCATATTGAATTAATTCGATTTAAGGAGTATTATAGGATGCCCAGGGGGCAGGAGCACATTTCGTTTGTATTTTCAAGCACTTCTCGGGACATTTTTTGTTAAAGTTTTCTTAGAATAAGATTGTAATGGGAAAAAAGATCCTGGTGCCGTGTTTGGATGTAATAATGATCGCCTTTTTCCCGAAAAATATACAGTTAAAGACCGTATTTCTAATACTAAACTAGAAAAAGGCGATCACTGTTACATCCAAACATGGCACAAGGATCTTTTTTCCCATTACAATCCTATTTTAAGAAAACTTTTCAGAAAAAATGTCCGAAAAGCGTTCGAAAATACAAACGAAATGCGCTCATGCCCACTGGGCATCCTATAATACTCCTTACATCAAATTAATTCAATTTTGCCACCGTACTGGTAAAAAGGTCTATTACTGCAGTTGGTACCTGGATCAAATCCAATCCCTCTACTTTCTCAGGCACCACCACCAATCTACATGACATTTTACAATGCCAAACTACAGGAAGAAAACGGGCAGAAGAGTATTGGTATTGACCGTCAAGAAACTGCACCTGAACATTTGTTTGTCATTTCCCAGGATGCTGTAGTTGATTATTTATGATAAATAGAGTGTCCGTTAATGGTTATGCAAGAATGGACAGACCGGTGTGCAGCTCAATACAAGAGTTGCAACTGTATAGATGATCTCAGCTTTTCAGTAGCAGATTTCGGATTTTTGACGGTGAGAAACTACTTCAAAATGTCTCATGAAAGAGGACCTCAGGACGGAGCAGGTGCTAATTTAAAGCAAAAAGCAGAAATGGCAGCGATTAGGCGCCACATTGTTATTTAGAATGCACATGGTCTCTACAATTACACGAAACAAAACTTGACTGAGCCAACTTCCGTCACTAAGCATGGGGCTTGAACAGAGAACCTTTTTCTACATGGAGGAGCATTGTCAAAACAGACAAAGACAATTCAAGCAAATCAAAGGAGGTAGACAGATCCACAGAGTTGTGGCCACAGATGACTTGACTGGCTTGAAAATCATGACTCGTTCTGTGACAGCTACCTTGATGGCCAATTCGATTGTGAAAATGGAGATTCTTTCATGGATCCTACTGCAGTAGAAGACACAAGTGATCCATTGGGTGGAGATGGCTTGTTCAAAGACTTGACTGATGCTTCAGATGGAGTAGGATTGTCTTGTTAAAACTCAAAAAATGGCACTGTATCCAGTTCATGGAACATTAAGTCAATTGTAAGGGGTGCTAATGAGCAAGCATGAGTGACTCCGTAGAAGTGCTCAAATACCTAGAGACGGATATAGTAACTGGATGACCTTTAGAGTTCAGCGAAGAGCCACTAAACTGATCTTAAAGGACAGGCCTTATTGAGAGAGACTTCAGGAACTGAATCTTCTTTCCTTGGCCTCAAGGAGGCTCTTTACGGACTTAGTTTTCCTTTTTAAATGCATGATGAGCCTATATGATTTGGATCTGTCTTATTTCCTTGTGTCTGCTGACAGTTCCACGTGTAAATATAACCTCAGACATACTAATTACCAGTTTAAAATTAGATATGCAAGAACTAATGTTTTACAATTTTCTTACTTATTTAGAATAGTAAAGTCATGGAACTCTCTGCCTCTACATTTAAGAACAATTTAATCTTTAGACGATTTTAAGGATTGCCTGAAATCCTTTCTACACATGAAGGATATTTCTACGTTCTCTTAATTTATTTTTCCCTACTAGTTTTAATTATATTCTAGCTTAATATTGTACACCATTGCCACTTCTCTAGGTATTTATGATTTTTTCCTTTAGCTGTTTTTTTCTTATTTATTGTGAATTTAGGTAGCCCTTCAGTGAGGGAAGTTGCTTCCTGTTAAGGGCTTTCCGGTCAATACTAAGTGTGTATTTTGTATTGGCTAACTATTAAAGTAAAGTAAAGTAAGGCTGCCCACGAATCACAAATTTGCAATAGATAAGTTCTTTCTAATCCGCTGTTTTTCGAGCCTCAGAACCATCCATCTCACCAGCGAAAAAATTTGATAATAACAGGATTGATTTGATATCAGATCTCAAAGCTTCTGCCAACAAGTGGACAAATATGGAACAAGAATGTTCATCATCCTTGCCTGGCAAAAATTCCAAGCCATTTCTTTTTTGCATCTTAATCGCAAATGGGAAATCTGCAAATGGCTTTTCTGCCATAACAAGTGAAAACACTGTGTTGAAAAGGCGGGTGTAATTCCTCTTTGCAGATTCTGTAACGCATTGAGTCAAAGTAGTTTGACTTTGTGGTTTGTCTTGGCTTTGAGCACCACTTGAATCCTTATGGCAGAATTTGTCTTTGGCCCACTGTTGGAGAGATCCACTTCGAATATGCTTCTCCACATTCCCCTTATGCGAGTAGGTGATTCCAGCTCCGTATTGCATCTAATGGAGGGCCACTTATCCCTCTACCAATGGCCTCCTGACGAATTTTGCTGTAAAAAGAAGTGCAGTTATTTGTCACATTTTTACAATATTGAATAACATTAAAAGGAGACTACTAAAAAATATCTCTTTTCTGTTTTACACTCAAAAATCTGATCAAATCGGATATAATTGCACAGTTTGAAGTCAGTGTTCATTTCTTTAAAAACAGGGCCTTAAAATGTTCCTTGCCACGTTAAATTTTCGTAACACCCCGTATGTCAATTTCAACTCACCCTCAGTACACGTCATACAGCGTTACTACGAGTGGGAAATTTTAATTTCTAGAAATGCCATTTTAGTCCCCCATGGATCAAAAGCTTGAAGTTCTCAATTACATCAATTATGAACGCCTTGACCTGGAAGAGCTTGCTGGAACAGAGGCTACGCTGTACGAGACAATTGCAGCTCTTCCAGCTGGGGATTTATCTACTGTGATTGAGAATTATCTTACAGCGATGGAAAGGACCGAAGACCTTCTTCAAAAGTTGGACGAACTGAAGGACAAAGTGATTATGTGCCCATGATTTGTCATTTTAACAATGGCTTCTTTAGGAGTCACCACACTCAAGAAAAGTTTTTGACCGGTTAAATCATTCATGTTCTTGAAATTTTGCCTTAATGTCTGGATGTTTCGCCTGTAAATCTTCACAAACACCAGCCGTGATTTCCACTTTCAGTTTTAGTTTACTTCATTCAAAGGCTACGGTTGCACTTACAAAAAATCTGTTTAACCGGGTTAGCTTTTAAATCACTAGGTAATAGATCCATCAAAATGTAACCCTGTAAAAAAGGTTGACTTATTTTATTTTAGTGGCTTGACTCAATTTACATTTTCACAAAGAAGTCGCGCAGTTTTCGGTTTTGTCGCTCGCTCGGGTCACTCATACACATGCTTACCTAAGAGTTATAGGCAAAATTTTATCCTGTATTACTGATTAAAAAGAGATTGACTTGGCGCACTTCTAGACTCAATTCTGTTAAAATAGGAAAGCTCAACTCAGTCACAGAAGGCAAAAAAGAGTTAAATTTCAAAACTAAAGTTCTTGCATGCAATGTAAAGCCTAAATTTAAAAAATTCTCACGTACAGGTGCTGTAGCCAGAGATGATCGATTGAGTGATAACCTCTAGCTGCATTAAATTACCAGGTGAGGAATGGCAAGGTAGTTAAAAAGGTGTGTTTTTCATAAAATGGTTAAGACTCGGCTAAGACAGTAGAATAGCCAGCTGAACTAGCATTGAATTTAATTAGTTGGAAAAAATGTCCATGCGACCGCAGCCACAAATTGGGATGTGTTTAAAAAAAACATCGCTGGCTTGTCAGTTACAAGCTGTCTAATAAAAAGATGAAACGGAGGGAAAATATCCAAAGAAAATAGCTATTGAAAAGGGAAGAAAAATCCAAAGTTATTTTTAAATCGTCATGGAATGCAACTAAAAAGTATACTCACTCGAAATGTTCACAACAGATCCTGCATTTTACAAACAGATTACGTTTTCATCATCAGTTTCGACGGAGAAATCTTGACTGACGCACCATCTTTTACAAGTTTTTAAACTAACGGAATCCTATTTTTTCTTCTTGGCATTGGAAGCCATATTAAACAATCGCTATTAAGTCTCCCAGTGCTATTAACTGAAACACGTGAGCTACCAGCTTGTACTGTGGGTTTACAGTTGGTTTGCCTACGCATCGCTTCACAAACGTCCTGTTCGCCAACTTTTGGAGCTATAAAAGCGTTCAAAAAAGGGGTACTTTACCATGGGGAAAATTGTAATAGAGGACCAAGAAATGACCGTCGAATACTCGAGCCCACGTTATTATTGGTCAATAGGTGACCTTACATGACGTAGCTTGCTGGGTTGTTTGGCGCTTGGTCGATAGTTTGTCAGTTGTCAACCGTCGCTTTGTTGGTGCTGTTGTACTATGCCAAAACGTTCTCCCACAAAGAGAGATTTTCGAGATTATGGGGATAACGGAGGGAGAAAAATAAAAAAGAGCGAAGAAGGTGCTTCTTCATCAAGCAGCAATGTGGATGAAGAGTTGGTAAGATCTTTCTGTTTGTTTTGTGTTATAACAACACTTTCACGTATTAGGGGTAAGCTCATATGATTTCTAGTACAACATAACCTTACTTCCTCAGATTTTCTGGAATGAAAAAAGCGTTTAATTCACAAGGAAGCTAACATATTTATTATACTACTGAGTTGATCATCGATGAAAAGGGAGCATGTTCTTTTTTCCATGTTCGAGGGCAAGCTACCACGACATATGTCGATTTCCGTTAACGGAAATCAAAAAGCAACCTTTCACTGTAGACCATAACAAATAAATATAATGGCAGCACTACTTTATACTTTATCTATCAATAGTTCGCACTACAGCTGCCCCCGCTCTGTGTGTATCGTGGTCGGTCAATAGTCCTCTTGTTTGCGTTGCTCTTTAAAAAACATAGATTCATAATGGATATTTTCACACATATTGCATACAATAGGTGAGATAAGAATACAAAATGAAAAGTTTCATGCACTGAATCAGTTCGATTTTAAAGCAGGTCAGATCAAACCATTCTCAGTTACGAGAATATTTTATTCTAAAATATAAGCAAAGATTTGATTAGAAGTTTTCATTCTTCACTATTTCTCTTTTAATTTTAATTTGAAAAGGTTTGATCACGTTGCTCTTGGGTATTAACTTTTAAGACAATACATTAATGAGAATTCAATGAACAGAATGATATGATAAAAAGATATGATAAAAAGATATCTGTTGAAGAGCAGCAAGTAGCAAGAGCTACTGAAAGCAAAGTTTATGCCACAATATTGGGAGGTGGCAGACAGACAAGGTGTATAAGGGAATTAAAAAATAACAAATACTTGAGGTTATAAAAATGTCACTTAAGATCTGATTAAAAATTGCTGATAGGCAAGTATTTCTAAGCAGAACCGTACATTGAAATACAAATATGGAAACCTTAAAAGTTTAGCTCTCTGGATTTAACATTAAAGTGAAGTAAATTCATGATCAAAGATTTTCACACATATTCTATACAATAGGTGAGAGTAAAAACAGGAAAAGAAAGGTTCCATGCACTGTAATAATACATGTATGTAGCCTACACATTCACATTACACCTGGATGTATTATTTGAATGCTTAACAAAAATGTTTTTATTTTTTAAGGTTTCGGGTGTCCTTGCTAAGGAATCTGAAGCACTATATCATTTGGCTTTGAACCTAGAGAAGAATGACATAATTGGCCTGGACAAAAGTGCCACGAAAATATACATGAGAGATTTTAATTTAAGAAGAAAGTACTTTGAGTGAGTATTCTTTTTAAGATGCTTTGGGGGAGTCAGGCTGGCGTTTAACTATAGTAAATAACAACAAAAGCTAAACAAACAAATATAACTTGTTAAACAAAAGCCATAATAATTGCCATAGAAATAATGTTATGGGAGTGATTCTTAAAAACCAACAGGACCTTTGAGTCCTGTTCATGCCCATTCCCTCTGGAGAGGCCTGTGTCCAGAAAAGCTGGTAAAACTAAAACTAAATACACTGTACTACATGTACACAAGAAATGAGGGTTTATTGACACTTTTCAAGAGAAGACAGTTCCTTAGATTTATTTACATCTTCAGGGTTGAAAACAATCAAAATTGTCCAAAGCAGTGAAGTCAAGTGGTGTACTGGTCTAGAGAAAGCAGCTCTACGGTAGATCTACATGTATTAGGAACAAGTGTAATAATTACAGAGACCTCTTCTGTGCAAAGAACATTTGAAGTAACTATATCCCAAGTTTGGATTTCACTGTTATTAAAATCGACATGACTGTTTTATTTAAGGCTGTGAGTGGGCTCTCTGTTTGGGGAAAGGATAAAAAAAATACAAGGAAAGGGAAAAGGGGAGAGCTTGTGCATTAAGCTTTGGTACCAATGTTCTACGGCACCCCCTTTGTATCAGATACTTGCATGCTCCTATTGACTAGAACACTGACTGTTAAGAGGTTTGTTCTATATCACCTTTTTGGTCAGCACATAGCACATGATTTTAGTAGTCACTTGTAAAAAGGTCTTCTGATTTTTAACATCCCGTCATCTGGCACTTGACTGATCACTGACCGTCATGTTAGAAACTTGGTAAAATGGCAGCTGACATTTTTATTTCCAAAATTATTTGCCTATAAAAAACTTAAGATCACAATTTTTGTCTCACAGGACACTCGCTTTGTGTATATAGAAAGAAAAGTGGTACACTTTAAAATACCTGAGGAGGAGGATCAAGAAGAAGATGAGGAATGCTGCCAATGGATCTATGCTTGTTCTTGCAACTAAAAGCAGAAAAGCATAGTTTCTGCTTTAAGCAGCAATGTCAACTTAACATTCAAAGGTAATACTTAATTGTTTTTGCGACTGTTACCCATTATTTGGTATGATACAGGGATTTAGCTTAAATTTTTAACAGAGGGGAGAGGGCTTGTTGTGAACATTGCTGAAAAATCTCCAAAATCTCGCATGTCACCTTAATATTTCAATTAAAACAAATCCCTAACCTGCAGTGCAGGTGTATTTGCAGGCCAGCTAGCCTTGGTATTTCCTGCAGTCTCGACTTCATACATAAATTAAATCGAGGTTCCACTTTTACTTGATTACTTCAATCCGTAAAAATTATGTCTTTTTAACTTTCATACAGCAGAAAGGTAGATAACGGATTTGTTATTGTTGTTGTTGTTGCAGGAAGATGAAAGTTGATTAAGAGAAGAAAACAATCACCGAAAAAATAAATATCAGTATCTATGAAAAAAAAATTGTGTATTCATTGGTATCCTTAAAAACACCTATGAACGTCCTTTCTCCTTTGACAACAACTACTCGCACGTCCAAGCTCCTTACAGAGGCCTCTTCTCTGTTTTCGAAATAACCACGTTTCGACTAGATTCTATTTTTTAAAGAGTGGGGAATGTTTAGATAAATCTTCATTGACAATCATTATCATTAACCACTCTCATAATAATGGGAAAGTCTTTTCGTTGTGCGTGGTTTTGTAGAATCTTTTGACCCTCTTTTGCAGTTCATTGTAACTACTATTGTCTAAAAGTTCATATTTCAGCCGTTTATTAGTTCCTTTGGTGTGTGTTTTTTTTTTTATGCCCATGTAACGGGGACGTGAGAGCCTATTCACCACCGTTGTAAGCTTAAAATAAATTTAAGTAAAACCTTCATACACCAAGAAGGGTGGCCTCAGAAAAGAATAAGGCCCGCAGACGATAATTGGTGGTAGAAATAAATAGTCTGTTGAACGTTGTGCTTCTTATGACAACAACTAGTCAAACATTTGAGCTCCTTACAAAGCTATCTTCTCGATTTTGATAAAAACCACGTTTCAATACTATTGATATTATTCGCATTAAAATGTTGCGAGTTCTTAGGCTCAGCAAACCTTCTAACACAAATTTCCTAAACTCCTTTTATATGGGAAAGCTTTTCATTGCGCGTGCTTAGTAGAATCTCGTTTTTGACCCTCTTTTGCCATTCATTGTATTATTCTTGAAAACGTCATTTTAAGTTTATTTGTTGTTATAACTTAAGAATCATGTTGTACATGCATGACCTTGTACTCAAAACCGCAACGTAAACTGAAGGTGCACACTCTCTCCAACATCAACAGCACAGCATAAAAGGAAATTAAGGCAGAATCCACCAGGACATCAGTGGACAAAAATTTTGTACCAGAATAACTTAAAGCATACTGCATTCCGGCTTTCTCCCATTTTTCAAGGGCTAAAGATTTAATAAATCATCTATAGTGACACCAAAAAAAATTTCTTCTGTAAACCCAAGAAAATGAACATCTTACCCTTGAAATTTTCAGAATTTTACCTGTGTAATCACAATTCTTGTGAAATTTGACATTCTTTTCTTCGGACTTCCTTGAGAAATTTTCTTTGGTGTTGCTACAGATGATTTATTACATCTTTAGCCCTTGAAAAATGTTAATATGAATGCAATATTGTTTAAATTATTCTGGTACAAGGTTTTTGTCCACTGAAAATTAAAATTACTCAATTTCCTGGTGGATTTCGTCTTAAAGTGTCTTCGTGGAGTTTGACGACAAGTAATATTGTACACCAAGGGACCCAACCAAAAGAGCAATATCGAAGAACGATAGCATTTCGCAGTTTAAAAGTATCAAAAGTTGACGAAATTTAAAGACGATGTTCTCTCAAAGGAAATCTCTTTTTTCCACACGACCGAGTATTTTAAAGTCATTATGATTAAGAAAACTAAATAAGGTTTTGGAAACCCATTAACCACCATAGTTTAGCTTTTTGTAATATTTAAAAGAAAGACTATCGATTGCATGGATGGCAAAAAATAAACCTGTCATAATCCAAAATGGGTGGCTTCGGACAACCAGCCAAAGATGTTAACTAGAAAAAAAGAACAGTGACTTGAATGTTGTTTATCTTGTCAAACTGTTTCAACTGGTCAAACGAGCTACTTACAAAGACATGTTCTCCATTTTTATACGATTAATGAATTCTTAGCGAAATCTTTGGGAATAAACCTTTCAAATTTGTTCCTAATAATGGAAAAAAGCTTTTCAATGGATGTTGTTAGTAGAACATCATTTTTGATCCTCGGTCACCATTCACTGAAATATTCTGCAAAACATTCCATACTTCAGTTTATTTGTTAATAACCCGGTAAAATAACCTTAAACATTGTTTTGGTGCATATACTTTTTAACCCCATATAACGTTAACGTGGCAGTGTCTACAGTTTCCAGGCGGATAAGAGACAATGATACTATGATAAGAAACTAGGAAAAGAAATCAGTCTACCGATTTCGACACCTAATCACCACCGATGTTTACCTTTCTGTAACCTTGAAGTAAATTTAAATGAAAACTTCATACATCAAGAAGGGCGGCTTCGGGAAAGAATAAGGCCCGAAGATGATACTCGGTGGTAGAAAAGAATAGCGATTGTCTGTTGAACGCTGTGCTTCCTTTCACAACAACTAGTCAAACGTTCGAGCTGCTTACAAAGATATCTTCTTGATTTTCACAAAAAACATTTTGACGAGAATTGATCTTATTCAGGTATTCAAAAGTAGCAATTGTTTAGGCTAAACTGTGAAAGATCAATTTCCTTTAAAACTCCTTTCTAATTAATGGGAAAGGCTTTTTGTGGCACATACTCAGTGCTCAGTGACAGCCTCCTTGATGACAACTGTGACGCATTGCAGGTTTTTTCATTGTTATAACCTACAAGAAAGAAAAACTGTAAAAAACCTTATTTTCCTGATTTCATTTTTTGAAAGATACAGAAAGTTACCATTTATTAGCACCCAACACCATTTTCTCTTCATAAATTTTGCACGAGGGCAGAAAAGAGGAAGACAAAAGATGGTGAAAACTAAAAATTATTGTAAGAACAGCCACTACCTGATCATAGCATTAAATACTAAAACTGACCATTCTTTTTCGATCCTGGTGGGAAAATCAAAGCTTTTTTGTCAAGTTTCCACGGAACAGCTCACCGAAAAGTGGTACTCCACGAGCAAACATTCGGTTTATGAAGGCCAGCGGTCATTCAGACCGAGCAAATTTTGGCATTTCTGGAGACTTGGCACCATAGGAACAATTCTTTTACTTAGGGAGTGCTACTGTATAGAAGAAAACAGTAGAATTATTGACGAAAATAGCGGTTTTCCCACCCTACAAGGTAGGATTTTGACCATTTGGCAGCCTAGATCACCCAGAATGCCATAAAACACTAACTTGAAAATGAACTTCGACTCTTATGGCGTCTTTTTCATCTGAAGAATCAGATGAATCAAGCTCAGAAAACTCACTGTAAATACGATTTTTTACCACGGTCCGTTCTGGTCGACATCTTGAATTCCTGAGACTGAATATCGAGTGTTCTGTTTACCTGCAGCCCTGAAGGAGCCCCAATATCTTGCGGAAACAGCCGGAAATGTAGTAAAAAGAAAGGTCATAAAGGTAAATGTGACTCCAGAGGCCATGAAATTAATGCATTCTGGAAGGGATCTCCGTTGTATGCAATTTATAAACAGCGACAGCAACTGGTAACCGAGCCTAGGCAAATCCTTGAAGAAAGCTTCTCTGTCCTACAAGTTAAAGAGGAGGCTTTGTCCAGGAAAGAGGAAGATGTTTCAGTCTTACAGAGCCAAATTAATAAGTACTTACAAAAGGGCTAAATTTCTTCAGGGTATTTTTGGGAAAGCTTTTAGTGATTACCACAAATCAGAAGATGCAATTAAACAATCATTAGCACTGAAATAACAGAGTTTTTTATCCAGAAGAAAGTATAATGTTGTATGTAAAACAAAATTCATTTTTTAGTGCAGATAAAGAGGTCTGGCTGCCACGTAACATGAAATGTCTTGGGGTTGACCTGAGGTTACCAAAACTAAGTGTATCTGATGAAAGTGTTGACAGGTTTGTTAAAAGTTTGGACATTGGCCACATCACACAGTTACCAGGAGTATCAAGTGTTTCTCGCACGGTGACAGGCTTGGTTTTTATGATTATTGATTTACACTTACGAGTTCCTCATCTTTCACAAAAACTAGTGTGGTTCAGTGAAAATGAAAAACATTTTATTTTTCAGTTCTCTGATCATGGAGCTCCTGAAACAAGCGAGTTAACAATGTCTATTGGAAGTATGGTGTGCTGGAACTTTGGAGATCAGGTGCGGAGCAGGGACTTTCGGTACCTTCTCCACTGTGTTAGTGTTCAGGAAAAAGATCAGCTTATGCATGACCTCTGGGAGCAACACACTGAGGAGATGAAGATTTAAACTGTATGCAATAAGGATTGTACTGTAGAATTTCAGCCAGGTGCGGACATGTCATGGCAGAGCTGGGCTGCCAATGAACTCAACCAAGCAGCTAAATATCCTTCCCCTTATGCCAATGTGCATAAAGGTAACATATGCACCATGGGTGGAAGTATTGGTTTCAGTGACAATGACACCTTGAAGTCCTTCACTTCAGAGAAAAGAAAGTCACATGTTGAAAAGTTAAGAAATTTTATGTCTTCTCTTTCTTCTAGTTTGACAGAAAAAAACAGGCATGCTAGAAAGCTACAGTTCATGGCTGAAAATGGCATCCGACAGCTAGGACCCCAGGGGAGTTTGCTGACTGGTTGAGGTTAGAACCAATCCATTGTGAGATCAATGCTTGGCAGCACTACCTTGATCTTCTTCACTTGGAAGCAGTGATGCGAAATATATTTGACCCTTTTGTTTCTGTTTTGGCAGCACCCTTGGGTAGAGGAGATGAAGATGACATTGATGAGGTACAACTGCAAAAGTCGCTTGTGAAGATTTCTAGCCTTGAGAGTGTTGGTGAGCGTGCTAGACAGCAAGACCTTTTATAACAATCTGAGGAGGAACTGAGACAAACTCCTTGAAAAGGCAGGTAATGGTAGTGTGAGGAAAGCTTCAGGTAAGAGGGGATGTGGGCTTGGGTATCTTGCCTTAAGAGTTAGGTATCACTACAGCAATGAATCTAACAGATATAACAAGTTGTCAGTGAGACTGATAGGCAATCAAGCAACTGCCTTGGCAAGATATTCCTTGTTGACACTTTAAAATGTGAAAATGAAACAGAGGCACAGAAAGCCAAACGACTGGCTCTTGGAAAAATAGGTGAGTATTTGAGAAATGCTTGGGGACTTTTTAACAGAATTGAGACTAAGTTGCAGAACTGAAGGAAGTGTCCGAAATGTATTTCAATCTCATCTCTTTGTTTTGTCCTTCCAGTGTGAATGTCACAACGTGGACAGTTGGATATGCTATTCCCTATCACGCAAATTTGTTGTTTCAATTATATTAGGTTGGTTATGGCATTGCCTCATTGCAGGCTAAAGAGGTCAAACATTCTGGTGTGAAAGATGATTTTCAATAACCCCTATTGGGAAGTGGTGGCAAGTTATGAGAAGTAACTATGTTCGCTCCTTTTATCTGCCAGAACATCAGCCCATGCCCTCCTCTTATATTTTACACTACCAGTCTCGCTCCCCACCCCATTGTAACCAATCAAAGTTTTGTAAATGTGGTAGAGATAAAGACAGAGATGAGCTCAGTTGTGACCTCTGCAAACAAGAGAGAACTGACAAACTCATTGTTATTCGCTTTAAAACCAGTGGTTTGCAAACAATGCAACACCCGTTTCGCTGATAACGTATTATTGTCGTCTCATTTAAAGTTCTGCAATGTTACTGGGTTAACAAGTTCAAAAATAAAACCAGGTACAATGACAGTACCTACCTGAAAGAAGCCTTGCGTTCGAGAGGATTGAATGTTAAACGTCTTGAAGGTATTCTCGCTGGGAAAGGTTATCATATTTTTTAGAATAATAAACCCTGTAAAAAGACTGCTATTTCTAACCTTTCTTTCCTATGTATTTTTTCTTGCTTAAATTGCTTTATTATATGATATGCAAGGTAAACTTTATGTCTTGCCCTTTCATCAATTGGAAGATTTTTCCCAATTTTTCTTAATTGGAGCTGAAAGGGGTGCTTTGTTAGATTTTGGGGTGTAAAGGGTTCTGTGTGAACTTATGATACTTTAGTTCGAGGAGCTTGGGTTTAATGATCACTAATGTAAAATTGGTGCAGCAACGTTGACCTGCAACTCATTTAACTCACAGGAGAAACACTTGATACACCTTGTCTGTTTTCCTCAAATTATCCGCTCCTCAGGCTAAGAATTTGCTGGCTGGTAACTAAATAAAGGATGAGAAACTTTTGCTGGGAACTTTGCTGAAACGCTTTTCTGGCTGTGGTTTTTCATTTTGAATGCCGATGCTGGCTGGAAAAAAAACATATTCCTATCACCTCTGGCTTCCTGCAGCTTTTAAGAATGCGCTCTGGCTAATTTAGTTGCCAGTTATTTTCGGGCTGGAGAAGGAAAATGACAGCTAGTTAGGAAAGTTCAAAGATAGCGCTGGCTTTGAGTGACAACTAGGGTGCACCGCGCGCAGGCTAGTGCGAAGTCGAGCAGGTGTATTTAAAATTAAGCACCAAAGATCGTGTACAAACTGAATATGTCAATCATTAAAACTCTGTCAGCAAACAATGCAATTTCTTTGTAAACGATCCCTCTCTTTTGTTATGGTGTCAATTTTGGGACTTACGCAATTCCTATTATGACGCCTATTATTTATTGCACGGGGTACGCGGAATGCCATCTGAGGAGTAACGGTTATAGTCACGTTCGTTGTGTATCTCCAATTTGATCCAGCTGGATGTTACGGTTGCAACTTTTTCTGCATCCCAATTCTGCTGATTTTTAGGTAAGTAATCTTTCCACCGTTTCTTGCTTTCATCCAAATGTCTTGTGGAAAGTTTTAGTACGTTATTTTATGATATCAACTGCCTTCCATTTGCTTTCTGTGTTCCATTTTTAGTGCATCCTTGAGTCAATAGCGGAAAGGTCATTGTTTCAGTAGCCTTGTTAAGAGATCATTAAGAGTATGTCCAGCAGGTAAGAACGCCTTTTAATTTTGTCATTTTGACCTTGATAATGGCATGCGCCTATATTAAACCATCAAATTCACGGACCAAAGTAAATCGCTTAGTTATATCAGATCCAGAAGAAACTTTGGAGGAAATTATAGAAATGTAAACCTTGATACTTATTAAAACTTTTACAAACGAGTGCATAAGGCCAATGTCTCACTCTTCTATAATACTATGTTGCTTCTGGATAGACAGAGTTAGTTGTCGGTGCGAATACAGTATTGATCAATACCCACAAATAGCAACGGAAAGGAACGGCAGCCGGCAGCCGGATGGTTTGTTACGTTATAACAAAATTTGTGTTGGAAACGAAATTATTAAAAGGCACCACTGACAAAATATGGCCCTAGTCAAAACTGGATAAAATAGCTGACTATTATAGGCTGTGTTTTCACTGGTGTTATTTACTAGCTGAACATTCTTTCTAAGCGTGACATTTCTTTCCACTGTGAAATTGAACCAGGAATTTATAGGTCACTTCTCCGCAAGATAGCCGTTGCAGTTTTCAAAACTGGTCGGGGACAAACCATGTTGAATGATTTCTCTTGTATTTGTTCTCGCTTTATTTTATATGCAGAAGACGAAGTTACTGTCAGGGAATGTACCTTACTAGGTCTGTTCAGAAAAGGAGGAGGCAATCATGTTGCCGACGGCCAAACACAATTTATTGCCGTGTTTTAAAAGCGTGAGATCACACTGGCTTATCCGATCGGTTCCTGGTCGAGGAACTCGAAAATGTAACAACAAAAGGGACTGTATTTTGAAATAAATGAAGAGCCGGATCGTTTAATAGCCACGTAGTTTACGTGGCACTTTGATTGCCAGATTTTGGCAGCTAACTGTCACTATGTGCAGCTCGATTGGGTGCGCTATTCAGCAGGACCAAATTATCATCTCACGAGGTAGTACAAGTGAATTTCCGGCTAAAGAGGTGACATTTTTAATTTGATTTTTTTTTGTGACTTAACTTTCACGAGGGTAAATTTTGCTTTGGAGGATTCTTGAATTTTACATTTCTTAATATTTTTGCCAGTTGTCTCACAGTGAGGGGTCATGAAGCTTTGTTTCACGCGCATATTGATTTCTGTGAAAATACTGTGCTGTCAGGATTTGACCTCTGATACAGAGTTTTAGTGTTAGTTTTACTTTTTTCTTTGTCTTTTATGGGTAATGGCGCGTTATTGCAGTTACATAACCGTGAAATACAAAGGTTTTCCTTTCGTTAAATTTCTCCAAAATGTCTGAATGGGAATAACTGCTAGATTTGTTGCCAGTGAATGAAATAAATCCCCGCTAAGTTTTGTCACGCTGGGCCCACAGTAAATTCGCAGCGACCAAAATCGAAAATCGCTCTGATCCTTGCTTAAGGATATCAAAATTATATTCCTTTTTCTGCAAACACATCATCTTCACCGGTAAAAATTATAATTACACTTTTGTCTTCAAAAATTCCCCTTTCCTAAACTGAACCATGATATCCTTCCTAGCTACCGAGGCCAGGGTGAAATTATTCCGCGTGGACATAAGACTACGGATAGAAGCCAGGGAGATCGGCTCGGAATTTAGTCCATGCAAACAGGTATTAACGACACGTTTCCCTTTTCCTGCAAACAGTTCATCCCAGCGAGTAAGGAAATTGTTCTTAACTTCCTTTCATATCTAAATTTTTTTACGGAGAATGCTTGACTACTACCACTACCTCTATGGATTTGGTCTAAAAAGGGGTGTGGGAAATCACATTTCTGGATTGAAATAGGGTCAGGATTTGGAGAAGCGGGTGGCACACACCCACATCTAGAATTCCCAGGAGTATCTCCCTCCCCCGGGGTTTCACCTTATCCAACTGATAGTGTTCGTAACCATCAAGACAACAATGTATTTTAATAGGTTAACCAGCTGAAACCGGCAGTTGCTTATTTTACTTCATTAACATAACAAAAATTACAGTCACGGCCTTAAGTTCATTTTCAAGAACATTTTGTTTATCAATCAATTAGAATAAATATCGGTAACGACACGTAAGAAAGCAATGCTTAAACAAAGTTAACATTGTAAGCTTTAAATACGTCTTGAACAAGTTCAAGGTCAGTGAGGCTTGCAATGAACTTGGCCTCAACTTTGTGGGCCCTTGCTGGTCGTCTAGTATCTCCTTGACTCCAGATTGCGTCTTTCAAAACACGGCTGGTGACAAAAACACAAATTACCGCATTTAAAAAAAAAGATTCTTTAACAAGGGATCACAGTAAAATTAAGGTTTTCAAGACCCAAGGAGAGTGAATCATTACAAATCTCCATATGACAAAATTTAATCATACCATTCACGCTCCCGTATAGTGGCATTATCAATAAGTGGTGCCATAAGCTTGGAAAGGCGTGCATTCATTGTTACTTTTACTACACCATTCTCCGTCAACTCAATGCAGCTGTCATCTTTGGGGTTGGATGGAAGCTGATGGATTTCGCTTCAATCGGTACAAATTACCTGTCGTCAGGTCCTGTCCACGTCCGTAAAAACACATTCCAACAGCTCGGATTCGTTCTACAGGCGGTGCATTACTTCTTTCAGTAATTGTGACTTGTTTATACGTAGACGTACCCGACATAATTTGTATCTATCCGTTTGCAGTACAGAGGCGCAGGCAGAAAGAAACAAATCGTCTTTGGGAGGTGTGCCGCCTGAAATTTTGACAGGTATCACATAGCAATCACAGTGCTGACTGACACACTATTCGAACTCATTTAAGTGACCCACCTCAATACATAACAAATAGGGTAAAAAATTTTCCTTCCGTCAACAAGGATACACACATGATCCATTTAACTCTTATCGCTTAAATCTTTTCGTTTTACTCTAGGCCACTGACAATTTCAATTGGCCGCGCAACTAGCTAGTAGTACACTCAGGTTAGCCGACTCGCAATGCAAAGTCAGGGCGGACAGGGAAAAAGGCATCTAATTGATCAAATAGTTTATGTAGCTTCAGTTAAAGCTCCAATTCATTCTTCTAAAATCGCTGTCGGTGAGAATTTAACGTCTTCCAGAGAAAACGTACGAGCTCGGCCCAGCATGATACAGCATTTCAGTAAAACATCAAATTCACGGACCAAACAATTTAAGTGTGGGGTTGGACTTAAAAAAGGACTTTTGCTGAAATTGTCTTTAGAGGTTTCGCAAAGCTTTTGTGGTGATTGCCAGTAATGGCTTCTGCTGCGAACAGTTGTCTATTACCTTGTGAAGCTTTTGCAGCGATTGCTCCTCCCTTATGTATGAATTAAGGGTGGGGTTGGACTTAAGAAAGTAAATCCATGTTTGC